CAATTGTTTGCACTGTTGCTCTTGGGACCTGCAGCTGCTTTGAAATGGCCCCAAGTGACTTTCCTGACTTGTTCAAGTCAATAATTCGCTTTTTCAGATCCATGCTGAGCTCCTTTGACTTTCCCATTGTAGCGTTTGTGGGCGTTTGTATCCAATGAGCCCTATTTACCTGGCCTAAGAGAAGTCACCCGCTGTAGTCACTCATAATCACTCACAAGAAGTTAAGAGGCCATGCTATGAAGCTCAGTTCACTGACACGTTTCTAAGTCACCAAAATTGCTAGTTCATGTTGCTGTATGTATATTTGTGACCCAGCAAATGTGATCACTTTTCTCTGTTAACCCATAATAAAGATATTAAAGAACCAAACTTCATGAATGTTTTTTGTGACAAAGAAGTATCTGTTCCAATCACTCTATCAGAGAAAAATCAGAGTTTTAGAAATAACGGGACACTCAGTAGAGCCATTATATTATATTTTTTACAAGTGTATGTAAACTTCTGACCACAACTATATATATATATATATATATATATATATATATATATATATATATATATATATATTTACACACATATATATATATACATATGAAGTGGAGGCCTCTCCCACCCTTCCCTTAGCTTAAAGCACTTTGCGATTCCAGCTTCTAAACCGTGGTCAAACTGTGGCTCTGCAAACTTGTAATGTGGGAGGAAATTCACTTAAAACATTTGTTATCATTCAGTGATACACATGATGTTTTTGATAAGGTTTACTGAAAACAAACTGTGTAATGTCTGATAAAGGCACATTACAGAAACCCTTTAATCGGCTTCATATCCATAAATAGAGTGCTTAATGTGAATGCCAAATACAAATTTAACTCATGCGACTGTTGCAAAACGGGTTTACCACAATGCTTCTTCCGATTCTCTGATTTCTGTTTGAGATAGGCAACCCAGAGTTTGTTCATTTGATGGATTGGCGCTGGTCCCTGGCACTTAGTTGTGCGACCGCAGCAGCTACATGGGCAGTGCCGTGTTTGAGAGCTTCCAGAATTGCTTTCCTTAGATTGTGGTGGATAGATAGTTGTGCTATTCTGGACAATGTAAGTTGAGTAGTTTATGGGTGTTCTACCTAGCTTGCCTAGCCACATGGTTTCAGTAACTGTTCAATGTTTCTCTGAGTTAGGCTGAATACGATAGGTCAGATGCATGGCTTAAGAGTCGTGCAAGTGGAGGTTGGGTTTTTCAAAGGAACACACAGATGTTTGTGGTAAAATGAGCCTCAGGATCAGGGACTGGTGCTACCACAAAACAATTGGAAGGTGCAAAGAAATGATTCTCAGATACAAGTCAAAGTGACAGTGTGTGTTTTCCCTGGCGATAGGGGGCAGCACATACTTAAATCATTGCAAGAAAACATTATTTTTGTGTTCAAGAAAGACCTTACCAACGGATGGACATTAGGGTCAAACATCCCTGGGAGTGCAACCTCCAGCAAAATGGCGAGCACGTTAGACTCCCTTTCATCACTGGCAATGAGATTGCATTTCACTGGCATATTTCCAGAGATTAATGGTTAAAACTCTACATTGTCACTTCAAAGGTATATTATGCAATTTTTTCATATTTTTAAATGGTTTTCTTGGGCAGTATGTGCTGAAATGACCCTTTACAGGGTTAATGAAAAGTGTCTCAGCCCCCTTCCACCTTGTGAACAGGATACCCTGTTTGCAACTTCAGCCTCTTCGTGCCGCTTCCTGAAGTTTTACATAGTCACGCTTTGTGGCAATCCATGTTTACACTTCAGATCAGACAAGCTGTACCTGGTTAGTGTTTCTTGTAACATGTTTATCATGGTGGAGCCTTAGAAGAGACAAAGAAAACAGTTCTCAGATGAAGCTAAAAAGGTGAAAAGAATGTCTGACCACAATAGGAGTCAAACAAGTCAACTTCAGGAGTTTTCTGAATCGTGAGAGCTCAGAGACATGATTCCTGCATGTTTTAGATTGTGAACACAGCCGATTTGTTTGGTTTAGCCATGAATCACTCCTGTAGGAACTAATGAAGGCTAGGGAGACATTTCAGCCTTTAGATTAATGTGTTAAATAGATGAACGCACAGCGAGGAGGAGTTTCAGTTTTTTTATGACAGTGGATTAAAACAGACACTAGGGGGTGCTAAAAGCAAGCCAAAACTGCAAAGTTTTCTTAAAATATTGCCAATGTGTCTATCAGGATCTGCTCCTACCCCTCTGACTCTTACTCTCTCCTGCCCCTGATTAGTTCGTTATTGAACTCACCTGCCCCTTGCTAACCTGCCCATGTGTTCCAGATTGTTCCCCGTGTATTTATACCTCCCGTCTTGCATGTGTTCCTGGTCGGATCATTGTTGTTGTTGTAGTTTGTTGTGTGTTGTTGTTCCTGCTGTATCCTCTGCCAGTAAATCCATTGTATGTTATCTGAGCCTGCATTCCTGCCTCCTGGTAAGCTCCACCACACATGGTCCGCCGCCACCCTCACCGCAAAGTGACAGTGTCATGTTTTTGTAAACTATTTTGCAACATCTTTCCTGTGCTGTTTTCCTTTTTTCTCTCCAATCCTGCCTTTTTCTTTATTTCCTCCATCTCTCTCTGGTTCTTTCTCTCTGTCTCCCAGGCGCGCCCCATGTCAAGTAAACAAGATCAGACAATAATAATTCCCTCACTCATTCAATAGTTTACTTTTCTCCTTTCAATCCATCCCTCAATTCCCTCTCATCCATCTAGTGTTGGACTATGTGTCATGGTCTTTTCATTTTGACTGCTTCAATTCATCAGTTTTTCCTTTGTCCTTTGTCTTTTTGATCAGTCTGTTGTTTCATGCATTCATTTCTCCCCGACTGTCGTTTGCTGCCTCCTACTCGACCATCCAACCATCCCAATCGATTGGGAAAAATCTTAATTACAGCTATCCCATCCTGTGCTCTCCTTTATTTTCAAGTATGTGAAAACAGATTTTAAGACAGTCTTTTATTAGTTTCTGTGGCTAAAAGATAGAACCGAATTAACTATGAGTCAGATCCCAAAGAAAATCTAAATGCTGCAACAGAAATTAAAAGACTTCAACTTGACAGCGTGGCAAATTGTTTTTATAATAACAACAAGTCTATACCCAGATAACATCAAAGCATGCATCTGCTTGTCTTTTTTTCTGGGGGTTTCACTGCTTCACAGCCCTGCAACTGATCTAAACCTGAGCATTTTTAACCAGAGGTGGCAGAAAACAAACTGTTCACTCAGTTCCAGCACCCAGTCAACATTAATGCTGCAACAAACCCAGCAAACCAGTTCTAAACCTTGGCCATACAGCTGCAGACATGGAAAAAAATATAAAATAATAACAAACACCTTTCAGCCATCCTCCTCTCAGGAGCTCCTGTAAATCCGCCTAAAACCCAGAAGAATACTGACTCCATGTAAAACACACGGCACGGAAAAGAAACTGGCAGCAAAATTCCCTCTACAGCTTCAATAATATTCTTGGGCTGACAGACAGACCAGACTGCACATGTGCATCACATGTGTTGACAGAAGTGTAACTTATCTGTTTATCCAGCAGCAAATGTAACAAATTCTCTCCCACACAAGTGTCTGCTGCCTGTGTAAATTATGCATGGTCATTAATGATCGACCACTTCTATGATACAATGAACTTTACAATGAAGTGTCAAAACTCAATAAACCACTGAGCAATGGATGCAATTTCAAGTTTGACATTTTTAACTTTTCATGAACATTGATTTTCTTGTATCAGTTTTACTGAATAAAACAGCAATACAAGTTATCAAAAATTTAAAGGTAATAATGCAATAATAATAATGGCATAATGACTTCATCTTTATGTTCACCTGGCCATAATTGTTTTTCACATGCTGTGAGACATTATAGGGACTAAAATGTTCTCTGTGACGGATCAGATAATACCTCAAAAGTACCTGAACTAATCTAGAGGACCAAAAGTAAAGAAGTTAATCCGGGACCATTATATCAACTCAGCTAAAAAGATTGTTACTGTCAAATGTTTCTAAATGTCATTCAATAAGTTGATTTAAGTGTTAGATTTACATATTCTTAACAGGAATAATTCATTTTATAGCTAACACGTGATTACTTCTTCCGTGAGTTATTTCTTGGAATACCAAGACAGTTTTTATTTCTCATCATAGCAAACTCAGTTCCATGAAACTGTGAATACCGTTTACACTACAGCATCTCAGGGCTTACGCTAAATAACAGGCTGAATGTAGGCTTTTATATCCAGTGTTTGAAGTTTAACTCAAAGTGACTTTAGTGTTTTCACTCAGGGATGTGAATGTCTTGCCAGTACTGGAGAGGAATTTTTCTGAGTTCATGCTTGTTTATAAAGGAACCAGCTTCGATAGGAATCTGTGTATTTGAGAGAGAGGGAGAGAGAGAAAGAAAAAATAAACAATGGACTTGTGTGGCCAACATTAGCCCCTGCTGAGATGTCCTTGGATGCTTAAAGACTTGGGAATTTCTGCTATGTGTGTATTTATTTTTTTACTTTGTTTTTGCTCTTATTTTGAACTTCTGCAACACAATAAATGTTCCACAGCATGATGGCTCAATTAAAGAATGTATTTTGAGGTGCAGTGAGTCTATAAATGTGCTTTGTGAACTTTAAACATGTTAATAAATGTGTGAAAACACATTTCCGTGGTCGGTTTGCATTTGTTATTTCTAATTTCCAAGGTGCAGAAAACTTCGTCATCATCATCATCATCATCATCATCATCATCATCGTCATCATCATCATCATCATCACCATCATCATCATCACCATCATCATCTCCCTAAAATTTCAGATATTCAAACATTTTTGAGTAACTTATGTTTGAGTTTGTTTACATTTAAATGTTATATTTGTTTAAGTTTTAATCAAACATGAGTCACACAGAGCCGCCAACGCTGATACAAATGTGTGAATTATATGACCTCATTATGTGTGTTTCACCTGTACACTGTGGTCGGTGGGTAGTTGGCGATGTCATAAATAAGCCGTATGTGTCCTTGGTAAAGCTCCAGCGCTAGGGGGTCATGGTCCTCCTTGTACAATAAAATGCCATTGTCCTTTTCTGTAGCCACCTACAAGAAGAAGATAAAGCAAAAACATTTTACTATTACTTGTTACGACCCCTATAACACCCCCCTTACTTTTGTAACATCCTGTTGGACACTTAGGTCTGTTCCTCTTAGTTATAGTTTATTTATTTATTTTGTTGCAGCCAGTTAAAGGAACTGAGCCTTAGCCTCTTCATTTATTTTGTACTCTCTAGAAGTAGAGTTTGCTCGGCTGTGTTAGTTTTAATGCTGTTAGGATTCCCAGCCAGTGATTTTGTGTTATTTTCTAATGTTGTAATAAATCATTTACTTTACACAAGTTCCTTCTTGCCTTCCTGTTTTCCCCTCCCTGAAGAAGAAGGTCAAAACGTAACATTACTACTACTAGGTGGGCATATTAGTAGAGTTGCTTGCTTTATTCTCTGAAAATACAATCTGGTTCATAATCAGCATGCAAATAAAGTAAATATCATTGGAACATTTACCATAGCTCTAAAAAGAACAATAATACCACTTACTTCTTGCACATTATTAGAAGCCATGCTTGTTTTGTCAATACAATGAAAGTGTTTCGTTGTCATTTCAATACAATGTGATGAGAATTGGACTTGTTGCTTCAATTACAGAGCGTTGAAACAACATTTGTTGTGAACTGATGATCGATTAATAAACTAGAACTAAAACACAGTTTCTGCCTCGAGTGTTTTAGATGTAGGAAAGTCGCCTGAGTTAAAATTAAGTTGTACTTGTAGCTCAGACAGGATATGTTGTGCATGTGCAATTAGTCACAGCACTGAAACCACCTGTTAATTGCCACCTAGGCACTCATTATGTTAAAACTGCTTGGACCTTTTACAGGTTGGACATGAGACATCTTGCCTTGTCTATAGATTTTCTTTGGCACAGCAGATCCTTTGGCCCCAGTGAAAAACATGTGGACCGGACTTTTCCCAGTGCATTCTGTGGATACTCAATTGGATTGGGATTTCTGAAGTCTGGAGGGCCAGCCTCCACAATTGGCTCCTCTTTATATGAGTGGTTCTTAGCAGTTTTTTGGAAAGTGTGAGATAACCTTGTTTTGGTGGGCAGTCTGTTGTCATCAGGGAGTGCTGTTGTAACACCACAGCCACTTCCTGTTCACGGTGCAACAGTAGTTTCTGTTTGTAAGATATGTAGCCAGAACATGGAGGATAATATTTATGTTTTAGGGGGAAGCAGACTTATACTTAACATGAATCTGTAAAAGTACAGCAAAACAAACCACTTTAAGCAACGACTCTGGTGTCTCTCAGCTGAATTTGCAACACTGATATTTGTAAACTGCCAAATTGTTTGGTTTGCTCGCGACCAAACAAGAATCTTTTAGTTCTTTTTAAAACACAGAAAGGTTTTATTTACCTGACGAAGTTTGCAGCCGCAAACGAAACGTTGCAGGTAAATAAAACCTCTCTGCGTTTTAAAAAGAACTAAAAGATGGAATTAGAATTGCAACACAGCAAGAACACACCAAAGATGTTTAAAGAATAGTTTAAGTTTGCACTTTAAAGAGCAAGTCACCCTCTACCAGAGAATTACTCCACTCCCACTTCCTGTTTGAAAAATGCAACAAATGCTGTTGCCTAGCAGACCGAGAGAGCGGAGCCGCTAACAAATACACACACACACAAGCTCACAACGACATTGTGACATCATAGCATACCAGCTAACATTCTAGGGTACCTCTTAACCAATAGCGATAGCAGATTTAAATTCAACTGCAGTGCAGAGTTTTTACCTGACAACGGCACAACACTGACAGTTTTAGACAGAAAACTTACATTTTAACTAAAATGCACTAAAGTGAAAAACTATCGACTACATGCGTCTGCAGCATGATTAGACATGCATAGTTTATCAGAAAAAAATGTTGATTTGGGGTTACTTGCTCTTTAACTACGTGTAAAGGGCAGAGGTGTCAGTAAAAGTGATTTGTTATAGAAGATCCACATTATTGCTAATATGGTACAAAAGTTTTTTTTATTTCAGTAATTCAAAGTGAAACTAATACATGAGACTCATTACATGCAAAGCCATATATACAAAGTCTTTATAGCCCTTTTTAGAAGACACACCATGCCGGTAAATCAGCGTAACCCTGCCACCATGGTGTGTCTTATGAACGTGCCATTGCATTGCTGGAATTTTGTAGCATTCGTGCCGCCAAGCTTGGTAGTATTATTATCATAACGCCTGACTTGTGATAGCATTTTACGCCTTGGCGCAACAGAGGGAGGCGTCATGATCACGTGGGGAGTTACTGCCGAGCTCTGGCCGGCAACTATATTGAAAATGAAAATGAACACGGGCCGTAAGTTTTCCTTTTGTAAACAGAATCAGCTGAGATGATAAAATGGAGCAAAGCAGAGCTCCAGGAGCTTCTCCCCTTTAAAGGTGGAGGTCAGATCACCAGAGACTGCACAGGGCCTGTGGAGGACAAACACCTTTAGGTGTGGCTTGTCAGAATAACTTAATGAGCACAGCTTTGATCAGAACAGAAGTCTGCGGTGGCGCAGAGACCCCCCCCCCTCCCCCCCATACCGCCATCATGTAATTATTTGTAAAATGGACACGGTTGCCCCACATTACTGCCATGGTCTGACCACTTATTAATGACCTAAGGCTCCCTGGTCTCTGCTTCAGCATTGCAGCAAATTGGCAGCATTATTTTCTAAAAGAGGCTTATTTGTTATAATTGCGATGATTATGGCTTACAGCTTATGAAAACCCCTCATGTCAAATCTCAGATAATTAGAACATTGTGAAAAGGTTCAATAATCTAGACTCAAAGTGTCACACTTTAATCAGCTAATTAAACCAGAACACCTGCAAAGGGTTCCTGAGCCCTTGGATGGTCTCTCTGTTTAAAATAAATCACTGACATAATATAGTGTGCTATATATGTTTCAGCTGCATGCATTTTCCTCCAATGGGTTTTAATGTTGTGGTTGATCACTTTATGTACAGATATCTCAATAAAGATGCTTCCTAGTTTCCTTTTAAATTAATCAATCCATGGATCTACCACAAAATAATCATGAAAAACTTTAAAGTTAAAATTACACTTGTCAAAACATGAATCATTCTCCGTTTCTTGACACTTGACATGTCACACGAGCTCTGGTGCTCTGCAAAGAGCTAACTAACTAGCAAGTGGAAATGGGGCCATCGGGCCAAGTACTTAGCACTCTGGCGTCAATAGAGCATCGCCAAGTCAACACCTGCTAACAAGCTGCTGAATAAAGAGCACAACAGGCCAGGAGGGGAAGCAAAGGGTGAGGCGTATGAAACAAAGACACAGAGATAAAAAAGGGAGGTGGAGGGAAAGTGTGAAAGGCAGAGAAGTAGGTGAAAAAAAAAAGCTGGGAAGCAGACAGACAGAAGGGAAGAGACGTTCAAGAAAAAGTGCTGGGGTCTTTCTTATTTTTGCCCCCTTTGCCTCTGAGCCAGAGACGCTTGGTAGAGTTTCAACAGACTTGGCACTGACTTTGAAAACACCTGGCAAGTGTAGAAACACACATGCTCACCAAACAGGTGGTACATTTCTATTAGATTGCCTCCTTTCTTGTTTCTCTCGTCTTACTTGAAAAAGGACAATATGTCTCTATTAGGAGTTGAGTCAGGTACAGTTGGTGTGTGTGTGTGTGTGTGTGTGTGCGTGTGAAGGCACAAATGCTGTGTGGAAACAAAGGGTTTTGGCACAAAAATTAAAAAAAGTTAAGATTTGAATGACTCAGCTTGTTTTTATGCCGTCTGAAATATTTAGAAACATTGTTTTTCACACATGGTGCACTTGCTTTAATTCATTTTTATGTGCAGTACAATTTTAAATGTTTTCTTTTTTGTTTTTGTTTGGTTTGTTTAATATAAATAACCTAGTTGATTTTTACGGTTTGAAAACCAGAACCACAAAAACTGAAGTGAAAGTTTAACCCTACCTGCAGTGAGATAAGAGCTGTTGTACGGAGTTTGGTGCCTGGCAGCTCCACGTACCCATCGCGACCCAGGAAGTGAACAGTGGAGATTTTGTCACATTTATTGCCATAGAAACCAGGTATGCAGCGACAGATGGGCTCCCCAGCAACCACCAGGCACTGGGCGCTGTTCTGGCAGTCTGATTGGTCACATGGGCTGGTCTGCAGCAGGATCATTGGTGGAGGGTTCTCACAGAACAGCCCGCTGAGAGGTGAGTAGATTAGAAAAGATAAGTTATTCATGAAGCTGTAATTAGGTGATTTATCCACCATTATCTACTAACAGTTGTGTAGTACTTGATCTGCATTTCATATGAAGTTTGTCCAGAGAAAAAAATTAAATGTCCAAAGGGAAGACCAGTTTTCTTACAAGGATCCTCTGTGCACCCACCTGTTTCCCTCTCTGGAAATTAAAAGAAATTAGAACGATAACAAAATTCCACATTATCTTCGATTGTGGAACTTGACACTAATGCAACAACAACAAAAAACATCCTAAATGGGTGTGACATAATAAAATCGACAAAATACAAATAAGACATAATAAAAATGTGACATAAAACGAAAAATTCCAAACTTTTCTTAAAAGAGCAAGTCACCCCCAAATCAACTTTTTTCTGATAAACTATATAAATGTGTGTCTAGTCGTGCTGCAGACACATATAGTCAGTAGTTTTGCACTTAGTGCATTTTAGTTAAAATTTAATTTTTCTGCCTAAAACTGTCAGTGTTGTGCCGTTGTCAGGTAAAAAGTCTGCACTGCATTTGAATTTAAATCTGCCATCACTATTTGCGAAGAGGTTAGCTGGTACCATATGATGTCACAATGTTGTTGTAAGCCTGTGTGTGTGTGTATTTGTTAGCGACTCCGAACTCTCGGTATGTTAGGCAACAGCATTTGTTGCATTTTTCAAACAGGAAGTAGGAGTGGAGTAATACTCTGGTAGGGGGTGACTTGCTCTTTAAGTGTTACCCTAACAACAATACTCTACTTCCTCATGTCTGCCGATCTGTTTCCAGCATACACAAGACTTTCTCGCTTCCTTTTTTCATTTCTGTCCCTTGTGATGGATTTGTTTCACTCTCTCCAACAGTCTCTGAACAGTCTCTGCTATAATCAACCACATGGTGCTGCATCTGCTGCACACACACACACACACACACACACACACACACACACACACACACACACACACACACACACACACACACACACACACACACACACACACACACACACACACACACACACACACACACACTCAATAGGTCGAGACAGTCAAGTGTCTGATTATGGTGTACCATCTGCATTTTCCACCAATCTGGTCCTACAGAGCTTAACTACGTTTGTGTATGAGTTGTTTCCATGCCTCTCACCTGAAACCCTCTTTGCAGACACAAGTATAGCCATTGACAGCGTCCACACACTCTGCTCCATGCTGACATTTATTCTCTAAACAGTCATTATAGTCCTGCTCACAGTGCTGGCCCACATATCCTGGTAAACACTCACATCTGCAGTGAGGAAACAAGGAATTGCATTACATAGATGTGATTACATATTTTAGTTTATAACAAAAGTGACTGTTTTCTCCTAGAGCCTGTGTTCAGAGAGGAAATATTATTCCAGGTAAGGTTTCTCTGAGCAGTACATTTCATACAACGTGTCCAGGGCTACATGGGTGGGGGGGGTGTTCCGGTTGAATTCCTGGCATTTTTGACAATTAAAAATTGCGCCCACATTTTCAAAGTTAACACACATTTCTTTCAACAACGGTAGTTTTTGCAGCTTTACTGTTCTCCTGCTTAGCGGCGCAAACTCCCCGATGCGCCTGCATTCTCTCAGAGTCCCTGCTGCTCTAAGCATTGAAAGAATAACTTCATTTTCTGTTCCTCATTTCTGATTACCTTCAATGGAGTCTGTTTGTTGCAACCACCAGGTACGAATACAAGCTTGTTTTTATTTGACAATTTTTCTGTCCTGTCTGTTTATTATCTTCCTGCATCTCCTCTCAATCCTAAAGAAAAACTGCTACCTGGCTTCATATTTTTTCACCTTATGAGTTACCTTTGAACTGCAGTTCTAAAAGATCTACCGACCACAAATATAGCGGAGTGCGCACTGCGCGCCGGCTGCACCGGTAAGGTGAAATCACTGGAGGACAAAACAGGTGATGCGCTCCGCAGCAGCAGCAAAACACATCAGGCACAAATAAAAGACAGAAAGCATGAAAGGATATGAGCCGACATAAACAATCGTGTGTTAACTTTGTTTTTGAGGTGGCGACACTTTGAGAATGTTACTGTGGCCGTGCTCAGGACGCATCCGTCTGGAGCGCGTAAGAGCTCTGCGCCTCTCAGCTCTAAATAATCCCCGTAGAGTCCACATAGATAACGTAATATAAGTAGAACCAGAATCGTTTTCGGGCTCCCCCTGGGTGTGTAAACTGAGGGCTTCCAGGGGAGCCTGTCATCCTTTGGGGTGAGCCGGGATCCCTTTAGCTGACCCATAATTCGAACCCTGCGTATAGCACAAGTTGGTCGCATGAGTTGCCGGGTCCTGGCAGACAGTTGCCGGAACGGCCCTTTCAAAATAAGACAGTTCCCGGATCTTGTTCCGGCAAGATCCGGCTCAAATTAAGCCCTGAGTTTAAGTGATTTAAACCAAGCGCCATTGGCCAATGAGGTGTTGGCTTTGCTTTGCATGCAAAAAGATTGTTGCTTGGGCCCTAATGTCTCTTCAAAACAGTTTTAAGTGTATTTTAAAATGTTCTTAACTTAAATGAAAATCATTAAATATTATTGTTGCACAAATAAATGTTTCATGTCTTTGTGTGACAAACGTCACAGAGAAAAAAAACAAGAACCTAACAGCAACTACTTTTATTGCTGTTTCCAATACTTACCTGCATTTTCTGTAGTTTAGATTTGTTGGCATAAGCTACATTAAATAATACTGACTGAAAAAATTCACTATGCATAATGAATCTCATTGACCATAAGTGTGTTTAGCTTGACTTAACTGAAGGAACAACTGATTAGCAACAACACCAGTGATTTCTCTAGTGCCACAAAAATTCCAGCTTTAGTCCTTTTGACCTTGTGGCTTCCGTCTTTGCCACTGTGTTCTGCACTCCCGTCCTTTTGGGAGGTGACCTCACCTGTAATTGCGGCCAACATGGACGCACTTGGAGTCGTGCTGACATGGGTCAAAGCCACTAAGACAAGGGTCGATCACCTCATCACACAAGTCACCTGGCAGCAGAAAGAGAGAAAAAAATGAATGTGCCAGTTCAGAATGATGAAGTTAAATCTGCAAGGCACATTCAACTGTTGAACTTGTGTTTACTTCTGCTTTTGTTTACAACAGGAAAATGTAGTAATTCTGATTTTTATAAAAATCTGAAAGTCTAAAAGCAGAAGTTTGAAAAGTTGCAGAGAAAAACTTTTTTAATGCATTTAGATGAGAGTAGAAACACTAAAACACCAAAGTAGACCTGGGTATTTGGTTTGAGTTCATGTTTTTGAGTTTTTGAGTTAAATTCGATACAAATTACAGGTCACTGCTCCTTATAAATGTAAGAATGGGTCAAAGTTAGTGAAAAAACTTCCCTAAGGGGATCAAAATAAACAAGAGACAAAAATGTTGTTTAAGTCATCATTTATGCAAACAAGCAGGAAATGGAACCATCAGCTTTGTCTCAGCTTTGATGGAGAGACATTTTAGTAGGCTGCTAAACCGGTATCTTCTGTTAATAGCATACGCACACAAAACACAAACACACACACACACACACACACACACCCACACACACACACACACACACACACACACACAATCACATGCTCAAGGGTTGACACGGGTGTAAAAACACAGTCATAAGAAGGAAAGAAGGACTGAAAGGTCAAGCGTGTTTCCACTGTTCTGTCTGCTTGAATCTAATCCTGCTGCCTCACTCCCACCCTGTGTGTCTCTAGCACTTCTTACATCCAAGTTTGAAATAATTGCTTCTGCAGGAACTACTGTCTGAAATTTGAAAGGCCCAGCGTGTTAAACATGTTGAATCTTTAGTGCCATGCAGTTCAGGGTAGGTACTGCATCCATGGGGGCTGCTTTGTGGCACAGTGGTTAGCACTGTTGCCTCGCAGCACGAAGGTTGCAGGTTCGAAACTCGGCTCGGCTGTGGCCTTTCTAAGCGGAGTTGCGTGTTCTCCCCATGCATGCGTGGGTTTCCTCCGGGTACTCTGGTTTCCCCCACAGATCACAACATGCCCTATAGGTTATAAATTGTATGTCGCTTTGGATGAAAGCGTCTGCTAAATGAATAAACATAAACATAAACATGGTAGTGCACAGGTCTCAAAAAGCCAATGTGTAAGTATGTATGTGTAAGTATATGAATGAGCATATATATTCTCTTCTTCATAGTTGGTTTGGCAGACTGCATGCTTCCAGGGTGCACTGCTGCCCCCTGCTGATTCTGTCAGGTTACATCATGTCAAAACGCAAAAACGAAACAGAGAGTATTATATCTTTTATGGCCTTAAACAGCTACCGTATTTCAAGATGGTGCATGACTATGGAGCGTCAACCACAGTTTATGTAAATCAGTCGTTACCAGTTTGGGGGTGAAACTTGATGCTGGACTTAAATTTGATGCTCACATCAATTCTGTGATCCGGTCCAGTTTCTTTCACCTGAGACGCCTTGCTAAAATCAAGCCTATGCTGTCAAGAGCCCACCTGGAGCGGGTACTGCATGCCTTTGTTATTCCTAGGCTTGATTACTGCAACTCTCTATATGCAGGGTTGTGTCAGTCATCACTGAGTCGCCTACAGGTTGTGCAGAACAGCGCCGCCAGGTTCCTGACTGGGACCAGGAAACGGGACCACATCAGTCCGGTTCTGGCCTCTCTGCACTGGCTTCCGGTTTGCTATCGCTCACACTTCAGACTCCTCGTCTTTGTTCATCATTTCTTCCAGGGTGGTGGTCCCCCCTATCTAGCCACACTCCTGAACAGACACTCCCCATCACGCGCTCTGCGCTCCTCTGACCAAGGCCTGCTCGCTGTCCCTCATTCTCGGTGTCGTACTCGCGGGGAACGGGCTTTCTCAGTCCTAGCACCATCACTCTGGAACCAGTTGCCACGCTCAGTTAGGCAGTCCCCATCTCTGCCAGTCTTTAAGAGTCGCCTAAAAACCCACCTCCTCCGCTTGGCGAATCCAGAACTTTTGATTTTGTCCCTCTTTTATGTTGAATTTATTTCAGTTTTCATTGGATCACTCAATCCATTGTTTTACACATTTGTCCTGTACCAGAATGTTTCACCTATTTTGTAATTTGTATTTTGTAATTTGAATTGCTTTTATTTTTGATTTATTCACTATGTTTACCTTCAACTGTACCATGTTCAGCGCTTTGGGCTTCCTGACAGGGTTGCGGAAGGCGCTTTATAAATAAAGCTTTGATTGATTGATTGATTGAAAATGTAAAATTTCAAGCTAATAGGAATATTTAGAGTAGATGTCGGTGAGAAATATTAATGAAAGAGGAAACGTTTTTGTACAGGATGCACAGAATTTGATAGTAAATAAGTAACAGTATTACACACTAGGCCTCTAAACGCAACAAAAAACAACTTCAGATTTCTGTTTTTGAACATATTGTGGAAATCTAAAATGGGAAATGTAAAAGTCTTTATGATTTAACCTCTCTGTGGTGTAAATATGAAAAGACAGTTCTGGATGCTGAGTTTGGAGAAAACACTCTAACCCATGAAAGCTGTTCTCCTAATGTGACACCTGATGATTATGTTGTGGTTCACTGAGACCAGTAGAGCTTCAGAACCAAACTAAAAGGTAGTGTGTTTTCGTGTGTGTGTGCGTGTGTGTGTGTGTGTGTGTGTGTGTGTGTGTGTGTGTGTGTGTGTGTGTGTGTGTGTGTGTGTGCGTGCGTGTGTGTGTGTGTGTGCATGTGTGTGCATGTGTGTGCATGCGTGTGTGTGTGTGTGTGTGTGTGTGTGTGTGTGAGTGTGTGTGTGTGTGTGTGTGTGTGCGTGTGTGTGTGTGTGTGTGTGTGTGTGTGCGTGTGTGTGTGTGTGTGTGTGTGTGTGTGCATGTGTGTGCATGCGTGTGTGTGTGTGTGTGTGTGTGTGTGTGTGTGTGTGTGTGTGTGTGTGCGTGTGTGTGTGTGTGTGTGTGTGTGCGTGTGTGTGTGTGTGTGCGTGTGTGTGTGTGTGTGTGTGTGTGTGTGTGCATGTGTGTGCATGCGTGTGTGTGTGTGTGTGTGTGTGTGTGTGTGTGTGTGTGTGTGTGTGTGTGTGAGTGTGTGTATCAGAGGACCCTGGCACAGAAAGGAAAACAAAAAGAGAACTTGACTCCCCAGTCAGCAGTTTTGCTTCTACTTATTGGACTCCTCCAGCCTTGGTCGATTTTTCCCTCCTGCTGCTTTTGGACTTTAACAGCTCTTTCCTTGCCCTTCACTTTGCTCGGTCGACTTTCCTTTTCCCTTCCAGCACACACTTCCTTCTTGCAATTTCACTGCTATTTTCCTTTGCTCTTTTTTCTTTCTCTGGTGTGTGATTGCTCTTTAAACCTCCTGAGGAAGCAGTTACAGGTCACTGTGGATGGGGCTATTACCAACTTACCATTTACTAAAGTGGAAAAGAGGAGATTTTAGATGTGGAGCCTTGGTGATACTTGTGGCCTTTCATGGTAAAAATTGATGGTTTCAGGAACATTTCAGGATAGATGTGTGTGTGTGTGTGTGTGTGTGTGTTTGCGTGTGTGTGTGTGTGTGTGTGTGTGTGTGTGTGCGTGTGTGTGTGTGTGTGTGTGTGTGTGTGTGTGTGTGTGTGTGTGTGTGTGTGTGTGTGAGAGTGTTGACCTGTGTAGTTGGGTGGACAGACGCAGGTGTAGTTGTTGATCCCGTCAACACATGTGGAGTTGTTCTCACAGTCGTTGTCTTCGCAGTCGTCTGGATTCATCTCACAACGTTTACCTTCAAAGCCAGGCGGACACACACAGCTGCACACACACACACACACGCACGCACGCACGCACGCACACACACACACACACACACACACACGAGCAGAAATACCTTCAGTATTAAATTGATATTGAGAGGGATTCAAAGACAAACTCTTGCAGCACGCCCTAAAATTAAACAGATGAACAGACAGAGTCAAAGAAAATGTATTTGTTGTATTTCAGTGTTACTTCATAAATACACATTTATATTTAGGGGTAAAAAAGAGACCATGTCTTGTTTTATGGCAGAAATGAAACCCTAAAGTTGCTGTTAGGAGTCAACTCTCCCTGCAGCACAACCAACAAAAAGCCCATCAACTTTAGTCTCATGCTTTAGACTGCTTGGTTATATGTTCAGTCTCTTTTTCCAACTTCTGCTTTAAAAAGTCCAAGTTTCCACTGTACATTTCTAACAAAACACCCACCATCAGTGGAAGAAATGGACAATAATTGGACTGCCCACTTGGGACGTCTCAAAGGTAATTATCACAAGCCTCCCCCTTTCCTTATCTCTCCCACACCCTCCACTTTTCTAACTAGCCCTAATATCCTCTCACTTTCCAGCCTTTGACCCTCAGTTAAGTTACACTGATGGATCACAAACAGAAATAAAAACTTAAATTCCCACAAACTCCCACAACGCTGCAACACATTATTTTTTTGTCTTTACTCCTTCAAATTATTGGGCAGTTTTATTTATTCTGACTCATTGTTACTCTGACCTTTTAAATAAAACCCCACCACCTTACAGAAACAAAGTTCTTTGCCTGTGGTCATGACAGTTTTCTCAATTTCAGTCCCCAAAAAAGCTACGTGGTTTTTACTGGCTATCCACTAAATAAATGACAGTTTAATTTTGATTAAAGATGATTATTTAGATATTTAGGCAGCAAAATGAGTTAAATCAGGTACTGGTTAAATCAAGATTTCACAATTACAGATCTGCACCTGTACCACGGTCAGCCCCATGCTCATTTTTTCTTACACACCGGATCAAATACAACCCATTTAACCAATGTCCCTAGCAACATGAACACATCAGAAGCCACATGCATTCAAAGAATTGTACTATACACAGAGCTCAGAAACATGCAACCAACTGTAGGCAAGTCTCCCAGATAGCACACAAACTACAGGAGTGCTAGACAGGAAGTGAGACGTGGAACAGTGAGATGCATCTTGTTTATTTCAAAATAAATCCTGTGTTGCATTATTTTCGCCAGCTTTTCTATTAATGATAACGATATCAATTCACACTGCATGATAGTTAACATTACAGGTATATTTTTAAACGCATGGGTCACATTTCTAATCATTTGTTGCCCTTGTGGGAGCAGATATCTGGAGAAATTCAGAAAGCAAACAACAGTCAGCACAGAAGCCGTACAGAAACCAGACCACCTCCGTTCTGAACTCGGTGTGAAAGAGGCTTCATTCCTCAGTCTAAGACAAATTACTTAATGCCTGTTCTTCCTAATTAAAGACTAAATCGGCCGTGGACCTATAATTCTTCCAAAATCTGTAGCAAATACAAAAGTATCAATATACCAATAAAAAAAGAATGTACAAATGAGAAACCATGAAGGCGGATGGACGTAAAGGTCACCTATCACATGTCTATCTTGACATTTAAATTACATACTTTGACAAATTGGCCTCTTCAGCAAAACAAAGTAATTTCACTTATTAAAATTCTAAATCGATTCTGTGATATGTACAAACATCAAAGGCCTTGATTCCCCTGTCCTGCCGGCTCTCTGCCTCTTGGTTTGTGTCCGTCTCATAAGACGCATCTGTGTTAGTTTTACTGTTAAGAAAAGACCAGCAAAGGGTAAAGAGACCAGTAATAGTATTACCAGGCTGCCATGGTAAAAGGCCAGATGCATATCAAAGCTTTCCAAAGGGCACAGGCCTTGTTAAAAAGGGTAGAAGGGGAGATTCAATTTGGTAGAGTGATACTTCTGACAATTATTTCAGTTACAGATGCAGTTTGTCAGAAACCTCAGACTAAAGGGGAAAACCCATGTTATTCAGAAAAGAGCAATTTCTATTATCTTGCAACACACACCTGGTATATATATGGTATATAGCATATTAAATAGACTAAATTGTAATGTTTTTATTTTTAACTCCTGTTAGCAAGACCAGTGTTGTGCCCGAACACATTCACTGAACGCTTGTTCATGTTTTTTTATTTTTATTTTTTGTGAACATGAACTGAACTCATTCGTATATTGCCTGAAGTACATTATAGACTAGTGAGTGCGTTTTTATGAACGTGTTCTTTTGACGTTCGAACTTCAGTTCTCCACGGAGCTAAGCCTATCTAAAACATCCTGTTAACCATAAAGTTTATAAAAGTAGGCCCTGAAAATACCCTGAAAAGTTAATCTCGTAAATTAAACACGTTTCCACCACAGCTACTATTGTTACTACAAGGAGCTGCTATAATGCACCTCAAAGTTGAATTAAAAAAACATTCTCTGACTTTGGGGGGTGTTCCAGTTTAGTTATTTCTTCTCAGAAGATGACATTTCCGAGTATGGAATTAACTGGAACGAACCGGGAGAAAACCAAACCTGAAAACACTAGTCACAGAATCACATCAGCCATATTTAACTATTCATTTATTCATTTATTTGCTTTGTTTTTTACTAAATCATTTGGGGCTTATTGTTCTTTGTTCTTTATGACCCAAGCATTTTTTTGTGTGCAAACAAGTTAGAAAATTCACAGAATTTGAGAAATTCCTTTATTTAAATGTAATTAAATATGTTGCATTCTGAGAATTGCAATTTGAGGTACATCCTTGTACCTATCTCCGCATATGTATATATATATGTACCTCTTCCTGGGTTGCCACTTTACCGTGGTGGAGGGGCTTGAGTGTCTCAATGATCCTAGGAGCTAAGTTGTCTGAGGCTTTCTGCCTCTGGTAGGGTCACCCATGGCAAACAGGTCCTAGGGAGGGATCAGACAAATAGCAGCCTGAAGACCTCTTATGACAAATTATATAAATGGAAACCATGTTCCCTCGTCCAGACATGGGTCACCGGGGCCCCCCTCTGTAGCCAGGCCTGGAGGTGGGGCACGTTGGCGAGCACCTGGTGCCTGGGCTTTCACCCAGGGAGCCTGGCTGGGCACAGCCCGAAGAGGAAATGTGGTTACCCCTTCCCATGGGCTCACCACTGGTGGGAGGGGCCAAAGGGGTTGGGTGCAGTGTGTGACGGGTGGTAGTCGAGGGCGGGGACCTTGGCGGTCAGATCCTTGGCTACAGAAGCTGGCTCTTGACACATGGAATGTCACCTCTCTGGTGGGGAAGGAGCCTGAGTTGATGTGTGAGGTTGAGAGGTTCTGACTAGATATAGTCGGACTCACCTCAACACATGGCTCTGGCTCTGGAACCAGTTTCCTTGAGAGGGGTTGGACTTTCTACCACTCTGGAGTTGCTCCCACTGAGAGGTGCCGAGCAAGGGTGGGCATACTAGTTGCCCCCATCTTGGTGCCTGTATGTTGGGGTTTACCCCAGTGAATGAGAGGGTGGCCTCCCTCCGCCTACATGTGGGGGGACGGGTTCTGACTGCGGTCTGTGCTTGTGCACCAAACTACAGTTCAGACTACCCACCTTTTTTGGAGACCTTGGAGGGGGTGCTGGAAAGCGCTCCTTCCCTCGTTCTACTGGGAGACTTTAACGGTCACATGGGCAATGACAGTGAGACCTCGAGAGGTGTGGTTGGGAGGAATGCCCTCCCCCCCGATCTGAATTCGAGTGGTGTTTTGTTATTGGACTTCTGTGCCAGTCATGGATTGTCCATAATGAACATCATGTTCAGACAAAAAGGTGTCCATATGTGCTCTTGGCACCAGGATACCTTAGGCCGCAGCTCGATGATCGACTTTGTTGTTGTTTCACCTGACCTGCGGCTGCATGTCTTGGACACTCGGGTGAGGAGAGGGGCGGAGCTATCAACTGACCACTACCTGGTGGTGAGTTGGCTCAGATGGTGGGGGAGGATGCCGGTCAGACCAGGCAGGCCCAAACATATTGTGAGGGTCTGCTGGGAATGTCTGGCAGAGTCTCCTGTCAGAAGGAGCTTCAATTTCCACCTCCGACAGAACTTCCAAAATGTTCTGGGGGAGGCGGGGAAAATTGAGTCTGAATGGACCCTGTTCCGTGCCTCCATTGTTGGGGCGGCCGACTGGAGCTATGGTCGCAGGATCATCGGTGCCTGTCGTGGTGGCAATCCCCGAACCTGCTGGTGGACACCGACGGTAAGGGATGCTGCCAAGCTGAAGAAAGAGTCCTATCATCAGGTCTTTTTGGCTTGTGGGACTCCAGAGGCAGCTGATGGGTACCGGCAGTCCAAGCAGAACGTGGCTTGGTCTCACCGAACTCCTCCAGGCTGGTGAGGAGTTCAGTGCGACCATGGAGCAAGACTTCCGTACGGCTTCAAGGAGATTTTGGTCCACCATCCGGCAACTCGGGGGGGGGGGGGGGGGGGGGGGGGGGGGGGGGGGGGGGGGGGGGGAAGTGCGCTACCAAAACTATCTATAGTGGGGACTGTGTGCTGCTGACCTCTACTCAGGATGTTGTGGATCGGTGAGCAGAATACTTCGAAGACCTCCTCAATCCCACTGACACATCTTCCAGTGAGGAAGCAGAGTCTTGGGACTTTGGTTTGGCCTCTCAGATCTCTGGTGCTGAGGTCACTGAGGTGATTAAAAAGCTCCTCTGTGGCAAGGCTCCAGGGGTGGATGAGATCTGCCTGGAGTTCCTTAAGGCTCTGGATGTTGGCTGACGAGGCTTTGCAATATCGCGTGGACATCGGGGGCAGTCCCACTGGACTGGCAGACCGGGGTGGTGGTCCCCTTATTTAAAAAGGGGGACCGCAGGGTGTGTTTGAACTACAGGGGGATCACACTCCTGAGCCTTCCTGGTAAGGTCTTTTCAGGGGTTCTGGAGAGGAGGGTCCGACGGATTGTTGAACCTCAGATTCAGGAGGAACAATGTGGTTTTCATCCTGGCCGTGGAACACTGGACCAGCTCTATACCCTTAGGGGGATCCTGGAGGGTGTGTGGGAATTTGCCCAACCAGTCTACATGTGTTTTGTTGATTTGAAGAAGGCGTTTGATCGTGTCCCTCAGAAGGTCCTGTGGAGGGTATGCCGGGAGTATGGTGTACCACGCCCTCTGATAAGGGCTGTTAGGTACCTGTATGACCGGTGTCAGAGCTTGGTCCACATTGCCGGCAGTAAGACGGGCTCATTCCCAGTGAGAGTTGGACTCCCCAAGGCTGCCCTTTGTCACCGATTCTGTTCATAACCTTTATGGACAGGATTTCTAGGCACAGCCAAGGTGTGGAGGGCATCCGTTTTGGTGGCCTGAGGATCAGGTCTCTGCTTTTTGCAGATGATGTGGTCCTGTTGGCTTCATCAGAAGGTGATCTTCAGCTTTCGCTGGAGCGGTTCACAGCCAAGTGTGAAGCAGCTGGCATGAGAATCAGCTGCTCTAAATCTGAGACAATGTTCTTGATTCGGAAAAGGATAGAATTCCTTCTCCAGGCCAGGGATGAGGCCCTGCCCCAAGTGGGGGAGTTTAAGTATCTCGGGGCCTTGTTCACGAGTGAGGAAAAACTGGAGCGTGAGATCAATAGGCAGATTGGTGCTGCATCTGCAGTGATGCGGGTGTTGTACCGGTCTGTCGTGGTGAAGAGAGAGCTGAGTTAGAAGGTAAAGCTCTTGATTTACCGGTCGATCTAAGTTCCTACCCTCACCTATGGTCATGAGCTTTGGGTAGTGACCGAAAGAATGAGATCGCGGATACAAGCCGAAATGAGTTTTCTCCGAAGAGGGGCTGGGCTCTCCCTTAGAGATAGGTTGAGAAGCTCAGTCATTCGGGAGGGGCTCAGAGTAGACCCGCTGCTCCTCCACATCGAGAGGAGCCAGTTGAGGTGGCTCGGGCATCTGGCCAGGATACCTCCTGAACGCCTCCCTGGTGAGGTTTTCCGGGCACGTCCAACCGGGAGGAGACCTAAAGGTAGACCCAGGACATGGTGGAGGGACTATGTCTCTCACCTGGCCAGGGAATGCCTTGGGATTCCCCCGGAGGAGCTGGCCCAAGTGGCTGGGGAGAGGGAATTCTGGGCCTCTCGCCTTAGGCTACTGCCCTCGCGACCAGACTCCAGATAAGCGGATGAAAATGGATGGATGGATATATATATATATATAAAATGAAAAAAATAACTCTGAACTAGATTTCATTTTTAGAACAGTGAACTTAGTTCAAATATTTTAACTAAAAAGTGAACTAGTTCATTTTAAACTGTATGAACTGAACTTTGAACTAGTTTCCCAACACTGAGCAAGACTTTATCCTTGGTTATTTAATGATTGAATGAAGAAAAAGTGAACAACATAAATGGTTTGGTCCAATGGTGGTTTATATTTTTTGAATATTTTAACTTTGAAAGAAAACACAACTTAAACCAGGTTTTAAATCAAGTTTATTGATGAGAGAATCGCCTATTTTAATTTGTCAAACATCTCTCACAGAAAGCCTACATCTTAGCCGCCATATTTTGTGACTTTTTCCAAACCAAAAGTATAAGATAGCTAGTTTCAAATCCTGGATAAGCTGAGAGAAGCTGGATCAGAAAGTAAATGAGTCTCTGCTCGCTTAACACTGCTATTGAGCTGCTCATGACCCCTGGTGTATCTGGTGAAGCTGCCCTGCAGCCACGAGTCAAACTCTGTGATTGTGTTGGGCAGCTCCCATGTGAGGATGTGGAAAATGGAGTGAATGTAAATCAGAAGCACTCCTCGAAAGGCGCTAGGACTACTGTGAAATGAAAGAATTTGTCTACTGATTTAGGGCAACAAGACCCTGAATGGTTAAACTGACCTGAATCAATACCAACACTTAAATAATCATAATTAATGTAGCAGCCTAAAAAGGGAAAACTTAACTCTTCGTTTCATCTGAAATATAATTCCAAATGCGACCTTTCTTGTTTGTGTGAAAAAAACATTCAAATATTAGTCAAATGCCTTCAAATCATGCTTTATTCAAAATAAATGAGAGAGTTAAACAAAATCTAAATGCAAACCGAAGCCGAGAGAAAATGAGTAACCTGAATCACACACACATACCTGCACACACACTCATACAGACAGGAACACAAATGATAGGGTCAAAGTAAGTTGTTATCCGGGGTAATGCATTGTTCAGTGAAGCATGACTGTCCACTCTAATCACACCATCTATATTTCGGGGGCTGAGTAAAGTTAATTTTCCCTTTAGATGAAAATACAGGGTGAGGTTCTTTAAAGGTCTTGAATTAAGAGAGACAGCAGACTAGAGAGGGCAATCAGGGTTACCCCAACAGCTGGTTTCCCAAAGGACGTCTTGTTTCACAGCTCTCTGCCTTCTACTTGTAATTTAAAAGCTGAATAATCTTTTCATCACTGCTTTTAAATTAAAGAAAAATAATTACGCACAAGAAATGTGCACACATTTTTGGCAAATGTTTGTGTTGTATTTAAAAGAAAAAAAAGTGTTTTACCTGAAGAGGTCTTCTTGGCCAGGCTGAATGTGGCAGGTTCCTCCGTTGTAACATGGGGCACTGACACATGCATTGATGGGAATTTCACAATCCTGACCCTGAATGACAAAATAAAGGCATATGTTTTCATTTATGTTGCTTTTCCTTTGTTAAGCAATTTCACCAAAAATTGCTTATAAATTATTTTACTTAAAAATGAGTAAACCTCAGTAAACTTCAGAATGAAAGCAGATTTATTCACATGATTGTGTTTCTGAATCCCTCACCACAACTGCACTCTCTTTGATTTGTAATAATTTGTTTTAGTCATTTTTCAAAAACGTTTTCGTCATACAGTTTTGAGTTTCATCTGTATCTTAAAAATGTTAAAGGGAGCTTATTTTGCAAATCTTACTTTTTGAATGTCTTTGTGCTGCCGTGTGGGTCTCTACTGCCTCTATAAACACGCCAAATGTAAAATTGGCTGCCAATCAATCTCCATCATTGTTTGGTTTTAAGAATTATTAGCCTAAAATGAGCTGTTTCAAAAAGTTCCTGTTTGTGACATCACAATCATGGAAATTTGCATGAAACCCTGCCCCGCACTAGTACCATCACCACAACCAACACCACCACCTCCACTTGAGACATGTTTCCCATTTTTAAATGTGGTAAAAAGTTCAGCCTAATAAAATAAATAAAATAAACCAGCTTGTTTCCTTAAAGTGACAGAGCCCTAAAAGTAAATCTTTATTTTCATTGTCTCTTTTGCCAGGAACAACATTGAAGGTGCACTCGACTCACAAGCATTAAACAAAAGAGACTAAAACCAGAATAAAAAAAAAGCCTGCAGATATATTCAGATTGAATGTATTCTATGAGAAAATGATTATATAAAAATAATGCACTCTGTACTGGAAGGTCCTGAACACGTCACGAATACCGCTGGTAGAATGAGTGATTTTATTCAACATGGTCATAAATGTATAAACATTTAATACAAGTTCAGCTCTTTTTGACACACCCAGCCACATTTGTTTGATCGCTTACTTTCACTAATAACTACACAAGTCTGTATACTTTTCCTTTTTACCTCCCATCTCAGGCTCCATCTATGTTTCAGATGAGGTTGTAAATTTAACCTAACCAACCTTAATCCCATGTAAGACTCGTTTATTGGACACAATTATTTTTGTTTTCAGCTTCCATCCATCTTTATTGTTAAGTTCACTTATCTTTTATAAAGTAGCAGTTTGTTTCCTTCACACTCTTTTATTCTCTTTTCCTGTTGTTGCTCATCACTTCTCATTTAACTTTCCCTTCACACCTCCTTCCACACTGATACATTCTTTGCTTTTACTTTCATCTCACTCCATCTCCCTCTTTGTTTCCAGACATTACATTTCCGTTTCTCCTTTCTGAATTTCATCACTCTTTCTGGCTCTATTTGTTGTTTGATGCTTCTTATTAGATTCCTCTAACACATTTTAATTATCATCCCAGTAGACACAATCACTGAAAGCTAAACACACACGCACACACACACACACACGCACGCACACACACACACACACACACACACACACACACACACACACACACACACACCAGCACTTCTTGTTTCCCGGTCTGTGACCTTGGCTGGTGATTGTTTGATTAAAAGCAGATCCAAGGTTTTCTTCTTCAAAAAAAAATCTGAAGGTTTTGAGATGTGAGTTCTCTTGAGATCCTGGCTGAATCTTTTAAAATCTGCAAGTACACACACCATGTCCTTCAGAACCTTGAACCTAACGATCTCTTTACAAATGTGAAATAAACTAATGCGTCGCCTAACATACACTTACAGTGTTAGAGGGTAAGATGTAAAAAGCAGAGAATAGAAAGACAAAACCAGGTCCTTCTCAAAAAATTTGCATATTGTGATAAAGTTCGTTATTTTCTGTAATGTACCAATAAACATTAGACTTTCATATATATTAGATTCATTACACACAACTGAAGTAGTTCAAGCCTTTTATTGTTTCTAATATTGATGATTTTGGCGTACAGCTCATGAAAACCCAAAATTCCTATCTAAAAAAATTAGCATCTTTCATCCAACCAATAAAAGAAAAGTGTTTTAATACAAAAAAAGTCAACCTTCAAATAATTATGTTCAATTATGCTCTCAATACTTGGTCGGGAATCCTTTTGCAGAAATGACTGCTTCAATGCGGCGTAGCATGGAGGCCATCAGCCTGTGGCACTGCTGAGGTGTTGTGGAGGCCCAGGATGCTTCGATAGCGGCCTTAAGCTCATCCAGAGTGTTGGGTCTTGCGTCTCTGAACTTTCTCTTCACAATATCCCACAGATTCTCTATGAGGTTCAGGTCAGGAGAGCTGCCAGGCCAGTTGAGCCCAGTAATACCAGGGTCAGTAAACCACCATTTACCAGTGGTTTTGGCACTGTGAGCAGGTGCCAGGTCGTGCTGAAAAATGAAATCCTCATCTCATAAAGCTTTTCAGCAGATGGAAGCATGAAGTGCTCCAAAATCTCCTGATAGCTAGCTGCATTGACCCTGCCCTTGATAAAGCACAGTGGACCAACAGCAGCAGCTGACATGGCACCCCAGACCATCACTGACTGTGGGTACTTGGGCTGCATGGTGGCACAGTGGTTAGCACAGTTGCCTCACAGCCCGAAGGTTGCAGGTACGAAACTCGGCTCGGCTGCGGCCTGAGTTGCGTGTTCTCCCCATGCATGCGTGTTCTCCCCATGCATGCGTGGGTTTTCTCCGAGTACTCCGGTTTCCCCCACAGATCACAACATGCCCTGTAGGTTATAAATTGTAAGTCGCTTTGGATAAAAGCGTCTGCCAAATAAATAAACATAAACATACTTGACACTGGACTTCAGGCATTTTGGCACTTCCCTCTGCCCAGTCTTCCTCCAGACTCTGGCACCTTGATTTCCGAATGACATGCAAAATTTGCTTTCATTCGAAAAAAGTACTTTGGACCAGTGAGCAACAGTCCAGTGCTGCTTCTCTGTAGCCCAGGTCAGGCGCTTCTGCCGCTGTTTCTGGTTCAAAAGTGGGGAATGCGGCACCTGTAGCCCATTTCCTACACATGCCTGTACACTGTGGCTCTGGATGCATCTACCCCAGACTCAGTCCACTGCTTCCGCAGGTTCCCCAAGGTCTGGACACGGTCCTTCACCACAATCTTCCTCAGGGTCCGGTCACCTCTTCTCGTTGTGCAGCGTTTTCTGCCACACTTTCCTTCCCACAGACTTACCACTGAGGTGCCTTGATACAGCACTTTGGGAACAGCCTATTCGTTCAGAAATTTCTTTCTGTGTCTTACCCTCTTGCTTGAGGGTGTCAATGATGGCTTTCTGGACAGCAGTCAGGTTGGCAGTCTTACCCATGATTGTGGTTTTGAGTAATGAACCAGGCTGGGAGTTTTTAAAAGCCTCAGGAATCTTTTGCAGGTGTTTAGAGTTAATTAGTTGATTCAGATGATTAGGTTAATAGCTCGTTTAGAGAACCTCTTCATGGCATGCTAATTTTTGAGATAGGAATTTTGGGTTTTCATGAGCTGTATACCAAAATCATCAATATTAGCAACAATAAAAGGCTTGAACTACTTCAGTTGTGTGAAATGAATCTAACATCTATGAAAGTCTAATGTTTTTCAGTACATTACAGACAATAACGAACTTTATCACAATATGCTAATTTTTTGAGAAGGACCTGTAGTTGTAACCCACGTCACAGCTGAGATTCAGATGACAGGTTTTGAGTCTTATTTCCTGATATTTGGATATCTTGCCTCAGATTGGATAACAGCTATGTGACTCTGCCACTGACTTGCAACATTGATGTTTTGTCTCAACAAATAACACAAGTCTGGAGGACCTTCTGCTGTGTGGTGGACTTGCTAATACTAACAGTCAGCTTTTACTAGCTGATATATTCTCTGCTGTTTCCTGCACGTTAAACCAACAACAGCCTTCCCCGTCAAGAATCAAGATGGGTGAGTGGATTAATGTTAAGAGCAGTGTGCCGTAGATCTGGCAGATATATCTAATCCTAGAGTTTCACCGTCTATTTTCTATCAGAAGCTTATGCGGGAGGTAGGTATAAGAGACCATTTTCATGTTCAGCCTGCATGAAAAACTATAAAAATGGGTTTTCAGTGTTTCACAACCGCAAATTAACTCTGTAACCAGTGATAGAGACCACAAAGGCCACTAAAAAAGTTTACATGTGGACAAACATAAAATAATTGTCAATAAGTATGACAACTCAGCCAGCCCCCTTCTGGTAATCAGAAAAAATTATCTATTTTATGGCATTTTCGTCTAAATCTTTTCTAAATATTCAAAATTCAACCTGAAAGCAGGTAAAAACAAATCTGTCATAAGAAAATAAATCATTATTGAACCTGTAAGAGTGTTTTTGGTCAATGCTTTCAGTACCACCAGCCTGTTACAGTTGCTCTGTTGATGCAACCTTTCACGCATGATGTTGATGATGACGATGAAAGGTTGACATTAAGTACAGTAAAGTAAAGATAATGTCAGTCTGTTAATGCTCCTTTCACTCAAGTTTAAAGTATAAGATCATTTTAACACCTAAAAAATAACTAACATGGTCAGAAAATAGCAGTAAAACGGTAAGTAATCTCTTTTGTTATTTAAGGTAGTTTCTTTTTAATTCCTCAAAGAAACTCCAACTTGATACGCCTTAAGAATAGTGGAATTACAGTACCAGTTTATTTGGTGAGAGGTGTTTTCCTCTGTAGCCGTCTCACCTTGAACCCATATGGACAGGTGCAGTGGTAGGTCCCAGCATCATTAGACACACAGGTGCCATTGTTCCGGCAAGGCGCTGCCAAACAGGGGGCACACTTAGACACAAGGCTGATATCTGCTGGAGCTGTACATGATGGAAATCAGAAGTAAAGGGACAAACAAAGGATTGGAAGTGAAGAGATGTCAAGAAGAAAAAGAGAGGAGCAAAAGAAAGTGTCAATGATAATCATATTGTCATTAAAGTGCTCCCTAACTTTGTTTAATAAATAGTTTTGCTCAAAGGGGACTTATAGGATAGGAAATCCTGGTGCTTAGAAGACCAGTGAAAATGACTTATTTATGAGATCAAAACATGAAGAAGAGTAAAAAAGGGTATCTAATTCAGTGTGATGATGAGAGGTGCTTTTAGACTTCAAAAAGAGTTTGCTCGCGAAAAAAGAGTCCCATTTGGCTCCTTTTCATCTTATTTGAACTAAAGTGACTGTTTCAATATTCAAACTCAGAAACAGAACAAATGATCTGTTTGACATATTTGAGTAGAAAACACATCATTATTCTTGTGCCTCTGTAAAAGTCCTCTGCCTAAAGCTGCAAAACCTACTTGGAAATGTTTTCCAGCATTCCAGAAAAAAAAAACACATTATATTACTGCTTATAAGGAGTTGCTTACATTTTCCTACAATAAGTTTTGGTAAAGAAAACCACTGTGAGTGATGGTCTACGTGTGTGATACTCCAGTAGAACCAGAGGTTTGGTGTTGCATATAGCTGGTTGGATAAAAGATATTGGGCAGAGCCAAACCCTCTGCAGAAGATTAGAGGACTGAAATAAAAAAGGAGTTATTTATAATGAAGAAAGTGACACATTGTTTAGAACTGCAAGAAGGACAGATGGAGAACCAGTGGAGGACATGGATATTATTCAAGAACCAAAGCAGCGACAAGTAGACCACTGGGACAACCAATGGGAGGGAAACGATGTGAGGATGTAAAGACCAAAGGAACTGTAACTCCCAATAAGACTTTTAGTGTCATTATCATTTCTGTTTGTAGGCACGGTTCTTAATGTGCCCATCTGGTGTTCTTGTGTGTAATAAATCGATGAATAAAAATGAATGGGAAAAATCTTCCTCCCAGTTCAATTCCCATCTGGCTTGCTAACTGGTGAGCGCTGGGATACGTGGGTCTGCTTCGTCAGTACAGTGATTTGTTTGTGAGGAGGGAAAGTTTTAATCTCCCTGGGCATGAGCATGTGATGTGTTACTGAACAAGCTGAACCAAAGAGCCAAATTAATTTCTGCTCTGTTTTGTCTGAAAAAGTGAAGCGACTCAAAGTCATTGTGTCAGCAAGATCATTTTGAGGTTAGACACAACATTTTAGGAGCCAGAGCCAGTTTATTCAAATTTGTGAAAATGACCACTGAGAGGTCAAAGGCAGAACTTCTCTAGAAGCTCGCTCGCCTGGAATGTGCATCATTATGTAAATGTTGAAGCACATACAACCTTTCTCACCACAGAGCACTGAAGTCAACATTTAACTGAACACAAGTCAAAATGTTAGCTCCAAAATGTCGAATAAACAAAAATAACAGTCCCAGAGAGTATACAGGTCCACACTGGGATTAAAAGCTGTTGGTGCCGGTCAAGATAAAGTATAAAACATCTGAAAATCCTCAATTCACTACATGCAAGGATGTGAAAAGGAAAAAAAAAATCACCTTTACACTGAAATCTGTTGAGTGGTGTAGTGAGCAGCAGTCTGTCGGCCATGTCGGCAGGTCCAGCACAGCGAGCAATACCTAACATAATAATTCAGAGGGGTTTTCAGCTCTTTCTGTCACACATCTCATCAGAGTTTTTTAGATGCTGACACCAAATTTTTGTCACAGGTGCTCTAATACCATATTGATTTCTTACCAGGCTCTTTGAAGCCAGCCTTGACCCACTGAGAGAGCCAGCGTAAGTCACAGTTACAGTACAGGGGGTTGGCACCGAGAGCCCTGCACACAGTTACACGGAGAACAGACACACAGATCAGCTTGTTACAGGCCCAGTCTCATTTAGCACAGCAGAACAGCAGCATGGGGTTGGACTTACAGGTGAGACAGAGATGTCAGGTGGTTGAACGCTCCTTCGGGGATGGTTGACAGGTCATTACCATGGAGAGTTCTAGAAAAAGATTTTTAAAAAGACGAGAGGGCATGAATATTAATCATCGCTGTTGCACACGTAAACATGACTTTCTGACCCAATGATGAGGTTTATATGTAGTTTAATTACACCGCTAGTTTCACATGTCTGTAGACAAAAGGGGATGTGAACCTGCTGCAGCTTGGTAGATACTGCCACTTTACCTTTACTGATAAGTACTTAAAGTATTGCTGCTAGCAAAAAAGACCAAGATGTTTTAGCTGCAGTGAAGGCTTACAGAAACCAACCATCATTCATAGCGAAATAAAATGAACTGACAGCTTCAAAATAGGAGACCTGGAACAGACTAATGCTCTAATGTAACCCCGACTAGCTTCATGCTAAATTATTTAAATGCATCTGGACTTTCTTGCTGCAGACACGCAATCAACGCTTTTCTATAATGAAAAATAAATAAAATATTTATGAAGGAATAACAAAATAAATAGAATGTTCATTTTTATTGCTGGGTAATAAATAGTTTGATTTGGTCTCTGATTGCACATTTAATCGACTTGTGTGTGTGCTTGCGTGCATGAGTGTGCATGTCTTACAGGAGCTGTGACATGCGTAGTGGTGAACATTTGTGTTTTGTGGCTTTGGGATTTTATTCAGATCTTCAAGTGTTGGAGGTGTACTTTCACTTTGAGGCTGAACTTTTGTCTCAGAAGAGTTAACTTTGCATGTGTGTGTGTGTGTGTGTGTGTGTGTGCGTGCTCACCAGAGTGTGCTGCCTGCTGGATATACGTTCACATTCCATTAGAGGAAAGAGATGTGGCAAGGGACAGCTATCAAACCAGCAGTATTGGAAAAGCAATATATGTGTGTGTGTGTGTGTGTGTGTGTGTGTGTGTGTGTGTGTGTGTGTGTGTGTTTGTTTGTGCATTGAGGCCAGCCTTTGAATGTGTCAGTGAGCAAGGGCTGTGTGTTTGTGTGTCTACGTTAGCTCCTAATGTCTTTGAGTGTGTTTGTGTCTGAAGCACGTGTGTTTGTGCATCTATGCATGGTGGTCGAGCAAGCCCAGCACAACACTGGCCCAGAGGGGGTTGTGGGTAATGAGGAAGTGACAGTGATGACCACCTGGCAACCAGTTGCTATGTGGGAGCAGAGAGGGATCGGTCCCCGCGGCAACATCAAGTAAAATGAAAGGCAGGAAGAAAGAATAAAAAAGTCACAGCTGAACTTCTGCAAGGTGAATGCTTCAGAAGAGATAAAGTCAATAAGCAGAGAAAAGGTCAAAAACAAAGCTATCGCCTCAGAGTGCGAGACACTGACTTGTTCTGCTCTGAAACAACAGTGGAGGCCAATGTTTCGTAGGGAGTGCTTACAAAAAACACCCAGAGGGGGAGTAGCAATGCATTGGAAAGTCTTTAATGTCCTCAATGCAATTATTTGTTTATCAATAGAGAAAGCAGTCACTATTTTTGGATCTAATAATATTATTAGGCATGTTGCCTATGAAATACTACAACCATGCGTATGGAAATTGCATTTATGTTCATGTTTATTCTTATTTTTGCCAAGTTCCTTAGTGTGCTTTGTTGGCTTCAGATCAATGCTGTGTGAAACGTGTATGTACACCAAAGAGAAACAGATATTGTTAGTTGCAACGAGGGGCATTTCCCCTTAAAAACCAACTCAGAACCAACATTTATCACAGCATAAACACACTTTTAAAATTTATTGTCCACCCTATGGAAGATTTTGGAATCAATAACTTCTTTAAATTCATTTTTCACTCATATATGGAAGTGCAAATTTGTCCATTTTTTGTCTTTTTTACCCCTTACATGATCTGTGTATATTGTGTGTGTGGAGGTGGTCAAATAACAGTGTCCCCATGAACACTGTGTGTGTGTGTGTGTGTGTGTGTGTGTGTGTGTGTGTGTGTGTGTGTGTGTGTGTGTGTGTGTGTGTATGCCTGTTTTCAAGACAGAGGGTGGACAACCAGATAAATGACCGAGAGAAACAGAGGCTGAAAGTCGATTAATCAAACACAATCCTGGGTGGAGGGGGAGAAAAGGAGGAGAGGATGGATGGACGGAGACACGAGGCATGACAGAGAGATGCAGGAGCATGCAGATGGAGAGAAACTACTCAATGAGTGAGAAAGTGTCACTTTTATCTCTTTTAGCAGCCTGCAACAACAAAGGATTTGAGTACTGAGACTAGTGCCTAACGTGCCATTTGGCCTGAAATCAGGAAGGTGATTAAACTTCCATTTAGCTCTGTGGTATAACCAGCTGAAGGGGCTTTGAATATTGAATCCACTGTGGAAATTGCAGATGAAGTGTGCTACTCACAGCAGACGGAGTGACTTGAGTCCATCAAAGGCATGAACAGGGATGCAGCGGATCTGGTTATAGCTCAGGATGCTGGGGAAAAAACACACACTGACTCGTAAGAGTGCAAAAAGACACAGGAATTAATAACACGATAGTACATTGGTTAAATATTCTAAAATTAAAATGGACATGTTTGAAAAATAAAAAGAACTGAGGTCAAAGCTGAAGGTTTTGAAGAGTAAAACCACACAGTAGCCAATCAAATGCACTAAAATGTTTAGCAACATGATATGTGGCTGTAGACCAGTTTTAGGACAGAATTCTGAAAAATAAAACAGTTAAACTTTCAAGGTTGCTATTATTATTCCACTAAAATAAAATAACAATTAAGCCAAAAATCACCCATTTTTATTTTTAAGGTTCAAGTGAAGGAAAAGTTTCAGACAGGAGCTAAACAGTTCAAAGTCTGCATGGATGTATAAGGTACAATACCTGATTTTCTCTCACGATCTTTTCCTTAGTTAGTTTGAGCAAAATATTCAACACAGTGAGTGTCCTAGTGATGCTATGTGTGACAGTAATCTGTGGCTGCTGTGCCTGTATGAACTCTGAAACAGAGCTTGAACGGAAAAGAACAAATGATCCTGCTCAACTTTGCACAGACAAGCAGATTCCACTCATTTTACTTTGTAGAACATGCCATAAAAGCTTAAAAGTAGAAGACAGATGCATCTGGACTGATTCTGACCACAACAGTGATTTTCAGAAGATTGGTAGTTGAGCCAAAAGAAGGAGAATGGTAATGCAGAAGTTAACGGTTAATCAAGATAGAAGCAATAAATAAATAAATAAATAAATAAAATAAATAAATAAAGAGAATAAAATAATTTTGAAAACAATGAAAATAGATGAAGAGAGAGGGGAAAACCAATATTCCAGGTGTGTGTGAATTACTGCACAGAAGATGCAAAAAGAAAATAGAGAAGACAGGAATGTGAGAGTAGAGGTTGGGGGAAGTGCAGAAAAAGAGGAGCAGAAGTAGACGGAGAAAATCGGAAAATGATAACATGAGGTAAAAAGCAAAAGTTATTCATACCAATAAACTATGGTTAATTGTTTTCATGCTTGTTGCCATGGGAACTTACAGTGTGGCCAGCTGAGTCATGTTGCTGAAGGTATATGGAGCCAATGTGCTGATGCTGTTGTTGCTCAGGTCCCTAAGTAGATACAAATATAAAGTAATGAGTATGAAACACGCACGCACGCACGCACGCACGCACGCACGCACGCACGCACGCACGCACGCACGCACGCACGCACGCACGCACGCACGCACGCACACACACACACACACACACACACACACACACACACACACACACACACACACACACACACAGCACAGCCACAGCAGTTTTATAAACTACTCAAAGATTTGGCATCCGTGTATTTAGCTCAAGGCTATGCTACATACACCAGTGATAGTTGCTTCAGGGCTGCCAGCTCCTTGGGCACAGATGTCAAGGTATTACCCTCCAGGTATCTGCAAGCAAACATGCATGGATAATTTATTGGGTCGGGCATGTATACTACAGCCGTGTGGCGTTATACAGTTGGTAATGTTGCATATTCATAAATACGGTCAAAACACTTAGAAAGATGGTAAAATATTTAATAAGAGTTCTATTTCACCTTTGATCTGACCAGTGGTAACAAAATGGGTTTGTTGCTTGCCTTAGAGGCTGATGTACTATATGGGTCAACTTAGAATCTGGTAGCAAATCAAATGTTGTGTTGGGAGTGTCGCGTTCTGTGTGGTGCAACTGCTAATTTACATAACAATTAACCCATAATTTACCCATGAAAAACTGATATTGTTACTTGATTGTCCGGACATCACATAAACCTTATCTGTTTAGTTTGTGCAGCCAGTTATTTGGCCGAGATCTATTTTGATTAAATAGAAACTCTTAAATCCACGTGAATGTCATCCAGTTTAACCAGGCTACATTCACAGGTGCAGTCGTTTTATGGTTCAGGATCAAACGGCACAAACAAGCGAGGAAGAGTCATAAAACCTCACATAAAGCATTGGGGCAATAACAAAGAGCAGTCAGTCCAGCTGGTCTCATTGGATGAAAATAACATAAACATAAAAAAGCTAAAGGAGTTGGGAAACCGTGTGCACTGACAGTCATTTAGCAATGGTGACACTGATGTTGACAGTAAACTGGTTTTCATTAGTTTATTCCAAGAGATATGAAAGCAAGCCTGCTGAAAAAAGTATAACAAACGGATTCTACATCCCATGATGAAGTGATAACAGTTTGGTTAGCATATTTCTATGTTAACTAAATAGTCCATGTTTCACCACAATGTTATTTCATTATCCGATCATCTTAATGAGATGCATAATAGGTCATATAATAAAAGAAACACGACCTTAACTGAGCTTTTTTTTGTTAAATTATTCTATAAAATGTTTTCTTCCTTCCATTTTTTTATTACAGCAATTAAAATGAGTATTTTGTTAAACATTTTTGTTAAGCTGCTGTTAAACGTGGAGCTTTGTCAGGCACAATAAACATTTACACTGATGCTCAGACAGATGCACACATGTTTCATGACCCAGCGGTCTCTCTTTTCTCCCTCAGGTCATAAGTAGGTTATGTGGACAGTGTGATGGAGTGTCTTCTTCAGCCTGATCAATACCTAATCACTGCTATTGACCCTGTAGCACAGGCCTATTTCACAGCGAGAGAGTTTCCTGTTTGTGTTTATGTGAGTGCACGTTGTTGCGTGTGTCTTTCTGCAAGTGAGTGCAATAATTCACTATTACTGGTAGAGATTTAGTTTTCAGCACTCTCTAAATTTCCTAATCTTGATTAACATTGTTTTATCCTTGTTTTTATACTATATCAATTCCAACAATTACTATCATTATAGACATTTCCTTTATTGATCCCTTCCCTGATGGGAAAGACTTCTACAAGGTTAAGCTTAATTACAAATACAGAGCAATGAAAGCAATGAAGCAGCTGCTACATCCAAGGAAAAAACACTGCAAAAAATAAATAACTAGTCATGTTGTTGAGGAAATCTGATCTTAAAGACTAAGTTTACACATTTTTTCAGCACTTTTGCAGTGGTCTCCAGTATAAATGAATGCCTTGTGAGTCTCTGGGGGAAAAAAAAGCTCTGGTGCTCCTTTGCTGGTGAAGGTTCTCAGTCACCCAGGTCATGGTGATCCAAAGGGTTCTAATGGAGGTAACGGGACGTCTTTGGATTCTTGAAGACATGTCGCTTCTCATCTGATGAGCTTTGTCAATTCTGACCTTCCCATATTCCATTCAGAATTGACAAATCTCCATAGAGCAGAGACAAAACGTGTTCAAGAAACCAAAGAAGTCCAGTTGCCTTCATTCAAACCCCTTTGGACTCTAGTACTCCTGTTTCAGGATGTAGAAGTTAGCTGGAGAAGTAAGAAGAAGAGGGCAGGATTTGGAGTCTTACTTCCTGATATTTGGACACCTTGCTTCTGATTGGCTAATAGTGTCATGTTGAGCCGAGGTGAGTGACACCATCTCCTATCTCACCACTATCAGGCTGATTTTCCACAGGTGAGGAGCGGAGGGGTTTGCAGCTGCAGAAGATTCCCAATCAGGAACTCAGGTATAAAAGGAGGATGGAGACCCTTCACTGCACCAGAATAGGTAGCCCCAGCCACTCGCTCTTGTACTTGTAACTCGATTTGACATTCGTTTTTCTGGATTTATTGGAGTTTGAACTTGGACTGTTTTTGGACTGCCCTTTGGATTATCCTAACTTTTGGTGTTGTTTCCCCTCTCCGAGGATCTCATTACCTACCTCTGTCATCGTTCTCGGGTCTAGGTGAGTCCTCCTCCTCAACTAACAATCTTTGGGGTTCTGTGTTCCACAGGTGAGGAGCGGAGAGGTACCAGCTGTTCTGAGTTACTCATTTGGAGCTCGGGTTTAAAAGGAAGATGGAGACACTACTCGAAGCCGGATGATTACTCCAGTATAGGTAACGCCTGCCACTCGTACTTGTTTGACCTCGCATGCTTGGATTACTTGGATTTTGACCTTGGACTGTTTATTGGATTACGGCTTTGAACTTGCTCCTGAAGCTCCGTTTGTTTGCCCTCCTAGGATTACCACCCCAACCTTCACCAAATTCTGCTAAGAACCACAGATCCTCATTCACGTCTCATCCTCCTCCACCGCTCCTGCATTTCTCCTCTCTGCTTCCTCACCTCCCGTCCGACTGGATTACTACACTCGTCTCCTTGGCACCCCGCAGCTCGCTGAGCTAAGAACTCTGAGCAATCGCCCTCGGCATCATTCACTGGATTTCAGTGCTACTTCAGTTCCCGTTTGTTTAAATAAAGACTTTAATTTCTTACCTCCTGACTCCTGAGCTGATTCTGCATGTCTTGGGTTAAACGCCTTCCACAAGTCATGACAACCTCAACTTCACTGTTTAAACCCTGGACTGTTCTCACCACGTCTCATCCTCCTCCGTTGTTCCTGTTTGGACCCTCTCCGCTGCCTCACCTATTCCGAATCACCCCTGGACTCTCCAGAGCTCACCTCGGCTCTCTCACCTTTCCCCCCCCTTGTTCTCCTCGAACGCTGAATGAACTTGAGTGATCAATCTCCCCCATAGGACTTCCCTGTGCTCCTTTTGTTCTTCTTTATAGTAAAAGACTTTACTTTAATTCAACTGGTTCAACGAGTCAGATTTCTGCATGTCTTGGGTTAAACACTTACCTCGAGCCATGACAAATAGCATTGCGGCGCGACCACTGACTCTGTTTGCTCTGCAACATTGATGTTTTATCTTCACAAGTAACACAAGCCTGAAGAGGTTCTGTTGTGTGGTGGAGTTGCTGATGCTAACAGTTAGCTTCTACTAGTCGAGGCGTTATCTGCTGTTTCCTGGATGCTAAACCAACAACAGCCTTACCGATTGTGAGTCAAGATGGTTGAGTCCATGTAAGTTAATTTTCAATGTGAAGTGGAGCTGACTGGCTTTTCTAATCTGAGCATTAGAGCGGAGCGGCCGGCATCACACAACACAGTCCATTGATTTGGGAACAGAAAAACGTCACTTCTTTCAACAAGCAAAACAAACACCAGAGTGCTATCATTTGTATCAGATTTTGTTCAGACATTAAAATATGTCAGCAAGGTTTGATCAGCCTCAGAGCTACAAACATTTCATCATATTCCTCAACACACTAGTATAACGCAATGGGACACATTTAGGTTAAACCATGCCTGCTGACTGAGAGTCTAACCGGTGATTCAAATGCTAACCCGTGATTTAACCGAACCATACTGGTTATGAGACCCAGACCATTCGACTCAAATGTGTCATTTATTTTCTCTGAGTTGGCTGCTGTGACATCACATTATTATTACTATAATAATAATAATAATAATAATAATAATAATAATAATAATAATAATTATTATTATTATCTTCTATGTTCTTCTCTTTGACTGAGTTTGTGTGCTGGGGTGTGTTCCACTGTGCAAACGCCTGACTCACAGCTCAGTGGTGTCCTTGGGAATGCCTTTGGGCAGGGAGTGCAGCGCTCTGTTGCTGCAGCGCACCACTCCGTCTGAGCACGTGCAGGCATCAGGACAACCAGATGCAGGAAGACAACCATTATCTTCGGCACCTGGAGACAGATGGACAAAGAAAGAGTGAGACAAGGAAAAAAACCAGAAGGAGATTACAGACTTAGGGTAAAAGATAAATAAAACAATACATAGAATGAAGGAAAAAAGAAGAGCAAGGAAAGACAGAACGTGAAATGAACTGAGATGAAGCCAGATATATTAATGTGGCATTAGTTCATCTTCATCATTTTCATTCAAGTCAGCACTTTTAAAGAGTGCTTTATGATCCATATCAAATGACTGGAGGCTGCTTAATGCAGTTTCACTGATGTGTTTCAAAATCTGGCTCTGAACCCAAGTGGGTCAGACTGATTTTAAAGATGACTCTAAAAAAAAACACTGACTGCATGTTAAAAATGTTTCAAAGATAATTTTATTAAATCATACAATTGCAGGTAAAAATGTAACCAAATGCAACATCTGAAGTCACTTTGTGGCCACACTTGGACTCTAGATAAAATGCGAATGTTCTTTGTCCTGTTCTTTGAGATATTTATGCGTTATTTTACCAATCATAAAATGTTTTTTTTATCAGTGCATTGCCCAGATTTTATTATGAATATATATAATATATATATACTAAACAGCTGTTTTGACATTTGCAATTGGGCCTATGTCACTACAGATATTGTGACTTGTAAGAGGAGGAAAGACAGGTGTACTGACGACGATGCCTTCCACTTGGTTCTTTAATAAAAATACAGACAGAAACAACTTCTGCTTTTCCTACGTTTGCTATTTCAAATAACTTCCATTAAATATTCTTCAACAAAAGAATACCGGAAACCTTCCAGTTTCAAAGTTTTGTGCCTTTTTAACAATTTTGTACATCTGTATTTACAGATTGAGTTTTTTAGTTAATGATTTTGTCAACAGTTGTTGCCTTTTTTTTTAAAGGTGGCTGTTTTATACTGATAAGTTGTAACATCTTAAAGTTCAGAATACACTCACACACACGTTATAGGAAAAAAACAGATGCGTGACTGTAATCACTCACACAGATAAGAGGCTAGATTGGAGTGAAATGGTAATTGGTAAATGGTCTGTATTTGATCTAGCGCCTTTGAGAGTCCTGGAACCCCTCAATCGGTCATTCACCCATTCACACACACATTCACACACTGGTGGGGATGAGCTACGATGTAGCCACAGCTGCTCTGGGGCGCACTGACAGAGGCAAGGCTGCCGAGCACTGGCGCCACACGCACACACACATGTGCACGTGCACACGCATGCATGCGCACGCACACACACACACACACACACACACACACACACACACACACACACACACACACACACACACACACACACACACACACAGGTCTAATCTAGCGATACTAGTTGAACTTTGGTCCCAAATGTAAAACAAGCCGAGTTAAAACCATAATGGAAGATAATGAAGGCAAGAAATTAAGCCAATCATAACACAACTGTAACTTGAGTGTGTGTGTGTGTGTGTATGTGTATTCATCAGAATAAGAGGGAAACAGGGGGATTTTTTATTCCTATTGTAGAACTCTTTATTGCATGTGTTGCTTGGATTTAATGTGCTATTCTTGTTTACCGCTCAGAGCTCTTTGCACAGGAAGCCACACTCATACACATGAAATTCAACCTTATAATAAGTGCTTTTTCTGCTCATATACACATTAAAAGAACATTTGGACTCAGTGTCTTGCCTAAAGAGACTTTGGGAGACTGCTTTTCCTCCAGAAGCATTTCAGTAAATGAACACTTCCTGAGCCATGCACACATAGTTTGGTGCCTGCCTGATCCTTAACTGTTGCCCTCTTGGCCATCTTGTAATTTGCTTGTAGTTTTATAATTGAACTAATGCCTAAATGTCACCAGAATGAGTGATTATGGAGTACTGTGTGCACTCGTGGGTGTGTGTGTTCAATCGCACCTCCTTGTGAGTCCACAGGGAGGTGAGACTGACTCACTCCACAGTCAGCTAATTGAACTAACATCTAAATGTGCATTAAATATCCTCCTGCAAATTCAATTAATTTTACCTTTCCCCTGGCTACAGCTGGACACCTTAATGGCCATTTTAGTCGCCTAAAAATAGACTGGACTGGACTTGTGTTGTATGAGTATGTGTCCCTTTGGCGGTGCTCTTCAGAGAGTCAGTACAAGATTTTCACTTTCACAGTGAGAACACGAGGAGGTCACACTGGACAGTTCATTTCTCTGAGTGTCAGGAGAATATTTTTTAACTTTTGAAGATAGGCCAGGAGCCAAAACACAAAATTACTGTGCTGATTTTCTAGACTTTGGATATTTTCTCTCTGAGACAAAATACTCCATAAAAATGCTTTTTCTGTTTACTAGATTTTGCATCAATGATTTCTTGTAAATGTCAGAAATAATTTCATCACTTTCAATTTTATTTAACAAATCTGAAGCTGCACATTTGAGATCAGTTCAATAATCAGATTTAGAATCAGAATCAAAAGGGTTTAATTGACATATGTGTGAGGATCACAACATGAGGAAATTGCTGCGGTACTTTGTGCAAGAACAAAAAAAGTCAAGGTGTAGTGTTGACTGTTTTAAGTCATTGCAGAACTGATTTAGTAGATCAGTGTGCATGTGGGTGTGCAAGAATGAAAATCAATGTCTGATACCATCAAGTGTTTCCTGAACCATTCTCGATAACTCCATTCAAAACTGATTTTCAGTAAATTGTTGCAGTGTTGGGCTGCAGGACATTAAAGAAGTATCGTAAATGTAAAAAAAAAAAAAAATTGGAGGTGAAAAGAGCAGAAGACTGAGATGTGTTTTAAATGATCAAAGATCTGAAGACAGAAGATGAATGATGGATCGATATCAAATTCTCTTTTGTCATATTTCTGTCTTAAAAAGTGTTAGCAAATATGTTCAGTGGAGTCAATGGGGAAACTAAATTGGGGTCCCCTGTTGCTGCCCTGTCGACTAAAGCTTGGCGTATGTTGTACAGCTTTTTGACTGTTTTGAGCCGACTTTCTTCTTCTGCAAAAATTTGAGATAGAGCTTACATGTTGCTACCACATGTGAGAACATGGCTCGGGGCTTTGCTCTGCAAGGAAGTCGTGCAGTTTGAGATAGAGCTGAATGCTACAAAATGTCCCACAGTGTGCGCCCGGCTTAACCCACTACTAAGAATGTAAATTTAAGAGTGGACTGAGTACTAATGGGTTTCAACATTTATTGATTTGGTCAATCACTTTACTGGTTTTGTGTCACTTCTCTGTCCACCTGAATGTAGCACAAGAAAGAAAAAGTAACATAAAACCTTTAGTTTTTACCATCACATGTGAAGTCTGGGGTGGCCACATCCTGGATGGGAATTTCCTTCAGGAAGGCTGGTTTCTGACAACGAGGGTTTCCGCTCACCACTCTGGTCTTCTTCAGCCACTGACCCAACCAGGCCAAGTGACAGTCACACACATATGGGTTGGACAGAAGGTTACTGTTGGGGATTAATGAGAAACACAAAGAGTCAAATGGCCTGTATTTCATATAGCACCGCCCAAGGTGCTTTACAACATAACAGGCATTCACCCATGCACACCCGCTCACACTCACACGCTGGTGGTGATAAGCCACACTGTAGACAAATAAAATTCTCTTTTGGTGGTAAAATAAATAATTCATCATAAAAGCACCAAAATAAAGAATGCAACAGAAATGTCGTGTTTATTAAGCAAAGCTGATTCCACTTATATTCGCCATGGGAGACCAAACATCACTCTGGCAGGTAAAAAATGACAAAAGGTTGGTTTTTGGATGCCTGTGACAATTAAAATATTTTGTTTTTGTTTGAAACACACAATAAGAGGTAAGGTAGATGTCAGTCGTTCACCTTTGAATATATTTAAATGGAAGACAAAGAGGAGGAGAAGAAGGGGAAGCCATAGACGAAAGGTTATCAGGTGTTTTTATTCATTTCATGAATGGAGTTTGTGAATGAAAATGGAAAAAGTGGCAGAGTGAGAAACTATGAGGGAAAAACAGAAAAGGTTATCGGCTTGTTTCATTCATTCTTGATCGCCTCTCATTGCTTTTTGTTGCTTTTTTTAAACATCTCATGCAACATTTATGTTGATCCATATTTAAACTGAAAAGGATGGATGGAAGTACAGAAACTTTGCTTGAACACAGCTGGGCTTTCTCCATCTTCAGGCATATTTCTGCTCTAAATGAATAATTGATCCATGGATTTCATAGAGTGTAACTTGAATTTGTATCTAATTCTAAACAGAAAATGTTTTACAATGGTTAAAATAATCAGCTTTGTAGTATCTTTAAAAACTTACAGATACTTTAACAAAACCAGTTATTCACATTGCAATTTGCTGCAGCATTTTCACAAAAAGACAGCTGAACAAGTGTCTAAATGTTTTAAAGAACTTTAACCTCTTGAGTTCCAGCACCTAATTATAAAAACACCGATTTTTTGCACAATTTTACTCTGTTCATTTAACTTGGAGCAGACATGCTATTCTCATTTACGTAAAGGTTTTTCATTTTAAGTGAACATTTTGTATTTCTAATCATTAAATAGCACTTACACTTATTTTTAAAATTTAGATTTTTGTTTAACTTAGGACACTTTTTGGAAATGTTATTTTTGTACAATAAATCTTCAAACAACCTTTCATAAAAATAATACAAATTAGAATTTTATAGTGGCTGTTATACTGTACATGAACATTTTATTTGCAATATAACAATGAAGTGTGCCTAATGACAGACACTTTACTAAGTACAAATTAGTCTGAACAGCATTTTCTTATTTTAAATACAACGTAGTCCTTTTTTGTGGCTACAGATCTGTGCAGATCACACACGACCTTTGATTCCTCCAAGGTATTAATTAATATAAAAGCTCCTCCATTCAATAATCTTAACAATGTGCTCTTATTGGAATAAGTCATCTTCTCATTTCCTTGCAATAAATTGACCTCACAAGCTACATTCTGTACTAATTAAACTAACCGTCTCTACGGGCAATGAGCATTAAGAATAGCAATAGATAGTAAAAAAAAAAAAAAACGAGATTGTGAAATGATAAAGGGAATAAGGGGAATGAACACAAGACATCCCGTCAGCCCGACAGCAGGCAACGCTCTGAATACTTTAAAGCCAGTGAAAACCTAAAACTGAAAAGGGAATTCATTTTGACAAATAACAGGAAAGATGGTAATGTAATATCATTCTCTCTTTGAGTAAATTGGAGTTTCTGCAACAGTGCCTCCTCCTCTCTGTCCTCGTTCAGCTTTTTTTTAATCTCCCATCTCTCCTCCCCCAAGACTCTGGTAGAAACCTGAATCAAAGATGACAGGTGCACAGCAGGACAGAGGGCAAGAACAAAAGGCAGAACAAGTAAAGGAAGCTTGGAGGCAAATAAAGAAAGTGTAAACAGGCACAACCTGTCCTGACTTTTGGTCTGCTGGGAAAAGGTGTTTAAGATTTCAAGTGGTAATATTTTACCGAGATGATAAAATGCATTTTATACAACCTTCAACTCTGGGTGGTCAGAGGATTCTGACATACACACACACACACACACACACACACACACACACACACACACACACACACACACACACACACACACACACACACACACACACACACACACACACACACACACACACACACACACACACACACACACACACACACACACACACACACACACACACACACACCTACTTATGACTTGATGCTCGTTATGATTTTACAAGCTCATTTTTTTCTGTGCTTGAGCTCAAAAACAGTCTGCATCTGAATCTCTTCCACCCACACTGAACACACAACAACTAAGCAAACATCATGTCCATTGATTTGTGTCTTAAGTGCAGCAGGTGTGTGTGTGTGCATCTTTAGAGAGGAGGAAAACACGTGTATAGTGCTTGTTTGTGTCTAAGTTTCGTTCTGCGTACGTGTCTGTGTGTGTGTGAGTGTGTGTGTGCACATGGTGAAATATTTGGCTTTGATAACAAATGACCTGGGATCCAAACTAATCAACTCAATAATGATGGGGAGCATCTCTGAGCATGATTGTGTTCAGAAAGCAGCTTGTGCACAAATATTATTATGCTCTGAATGAGTATGTGTGTATCTGTGCATTTAATAGAAGATGGCCACTAAAGGAAATGGGTTAGGTAAGATGACACTTACATGGTAGATAAGGAGTGCAGGGTGGAGAAGGCTCCAGGGGCGATGCTGGCGATCCGGTTGTCGTAGAGTGACAGCAGACGTACGGAGCTCAAACCTGTGAAGGTGCTGTTGTCAATGCAGCTGATCTGGTTGCTTCGCAGCATTCTGGAATAACAAATAATACATCTTTAACTATTAATATCACATTTTTACTGTTTTGAGAATTTCAAACCACAGGCTTTAAAAACAACTTTTAAAGAACACATTTTTCACCTGAGAAGGCATTGTTTTGACAGAAAGTCTCCTCTTTAAAAGATCCAACGTAGATAGGAAGAACTCTCAAGACAACTCAAGATGTCATATAAGAGGAGTAAATCTAAGCATGTCCCCACTGGACAAGCATGACAGACATGTGGTGCTGTAAGTGAGTTAGTTTGCATTAGCTATCTCTGGGACACGCTAACCATGTTAGTAGGGCTGTGACTGGAGCAGGGAGGCTTTTAACATAATACAGAGGCAGAACCATGATAGCTTTAGAGTCATTAGACCACACATATATACATGATAGCATTAGCTAGTCATTACTGAGCACACACACAAGCATGTGCACATTTGCTATTGGTTTCATAAACTATCCCTTAACTCCTAACTGTGGTGGATACTCAAATTAGGACGATAAAATGACGTTAGGCTTGGTTTAAAATTTGTTAGGCATGTAATCTATGTCTGCTTCATTTAACATAGAAAAGTGAAGGTACAAGTCCATCACTAGTAAAATGGAGACTGAATTCACCATCATACAAATATTTGCATTGGGACCAGTGGTCAGGCAGAGGCTCTCATATATATATATATATATATATATATATATATATATATATATATATATATATATATATATATATATATATATATATATATATGGGATCACATGTATATATGGGATTATAATTATAAAGAATTCAAATAAACAACCAGGGGAAACCCAAAAGATCACATCCAGCTCTTAATACGATGATTTGATCAGCATGTGTTCCAAGACTGGTCCCATCTAAGAGATTTACTGTTTGGACAAAAAATGTGCACACACATAGAAACAAACTGCAGCATATTGAGACTTACAGTGTTTTGAGGCCACTCAGGCCTTTGAACATGCGTCCCTGCAGTCCAGTTAGCTTGTTCCCTGTTAGCAGCAGCTCTAAAACTCCACTCGCTCCATCAAATGCACCTTCACGGACGTCCTTCAGCTTATTGTTGCTCAGGTTGCTGTAGAAAGGATAACAACACAACAATTTTCTTGTCACAGTTTGTTGAACTGCATGTATTTTCTATTGGTGCTACACATACAAGACCACACTCTCTGCTTGATTGCAGCAATTAATCACATCCTTTCAACTGAAAAATGTAAACCCGTTCTATTTCCTTAAAATATCTCTCTATTAGAGATGCAGTGTGATCACAGAAGGAGCCACACATTCAACAAAGCACACAGACAATGTGCATGCATTCAAGTAAATGAGACAAATGGTCACAAATGACTGAGAAGTGATTGCAATCTCTTATCCTAGCACACAATGAGAAAAACGAAATGGACAATAAAAAGCTGGGCTGGGCAAACAGAAACAATATTTTCAGACAATAGCCATCAGAGCTGCTGTGGCGTTCTTTCACAGATAGTTTGATATTTCCTTTTATCACCGTTGTGGAAGATGAGGGGTAAGAAAGAAAAACCACAATTGCAAATAAATATATAGTGAAATGCATAAAAGCTGAACAAATATGTAGAGAATGTGAGGTGAGGACAGGAGATGAAGAGAGGGCGAAGCAAAATGGAAATGAGTGCATACCAATCTATATTGTCAGTAACACTGCTAGATGGTTAGCAATTTCCTCTCCAATAAATCACCCTCTCATCTCTGCTATGGCTCCATCTTATCTGACACACCCACTCACACACACACACACACACACACACACACACACACACACACACACACACACACACACACACACACACACACACACACACACACACACACACACACACACACACACACACACACACACACACACACACACAAACACACACACACACATATATATCTAGAGGCTGTAGATATGAAATGACTTTAAACTGAAGGTATATTTAATTTCCATTTAAACATATGCCTCATCTCTACCTACAAGTTTCCTCCTCGATTTAGTCCTTATATTTTACTTTGCTCATCGCTCATAGTCTTTTTGCTTTCACTTTCTATCCTTTTTAAACTTTGATTCCTTTTCCTAGTGCTGTTAATCACTCTCTTATTGCATTTTTTCTTCAATTCAATTTCATCCTTCTGTTCATTTGTTAATCCAACAGCAGTACAGTTATAATCTCACATATTCAAACACATATGTAGCATATGTAAAAAAAAATAAAATATATATATATATATATATATATATATATATATATATAAACGCAACACCTTTGTTTCTGCTCTGATTTTTCATGAGATGGACTTAAAGATCTAAAAATTCATTCCAGGTACACAATATTACCATTTCTCTCAAACACGCTGGAGATGGCTTATGGTGGATAAATGAACATTCAATGCACAAGCAACAGATCTGGTTGACATTCCTGCTGTCAGCATGCCAATTGCACACTCCCTCAATGCTTGTGGCATCTGTGGCATTTTGCTGTGAGACAAAACTGCACATTCCAGGGTGGCCTTTTATTGTGGGCAGTATAAGGTACACCTGTGCACTACTCATGATGTCGGATCAGCATCTTGATGTGGCACACCTGCGAGGTGGGATGGATCATTTCAGCAAAGCAGAAGTGCTCACCATCACCCATTTATAAATGGTAAATGGCCTGTATTCGATATAGCGCCTTCTAGAGTCCTGGAACCCCTCAAGGTGCTTTACAACACAATCAGTTATTCACCCATTCATACACACATTCACACACTGGTGGGGATGAGCTACAATGTAGCCACAGCTGCCCTGGGGCACACTGACAGAGGCGAGGCTGCCGAGCACAGGCGCCACCGGTCCCTCCGACCACCACCAGCAGACAACAGGGATTAAGTGTCTTGCCCAAGGACACAACAACAGCGACAGACTGAGCGGGGCTCGAACCTGCAACCTTCCGAGTACGGAGCGAGCACTTGACTCCTGTGCCACCGTCGTCACACTGATTTGTGAACAATGTTTGAGAGAAATGGTAATATTGAGTATCTGGAATGAATTTTAGATCTTTAAGTCCATCTCATGAAAGATCGGAGCAGAAACAAAGGTGCTGCGTTTATATTTTTGTTGAGTGTACATATACATATATATTTAAATGAATTTTTCACAACATACATCTTCCTCAGGTTGGGAAGCTTCTTGAATGTCCCCGTAGCCTCCAGGATGGCAATCTCATTGTCATTTAACCGCCTACAGGGAGAGAGAGAGAAAATTATTGTTCTTTTAACGAAACAAACCGTTTTACTTACACAAAAGATGTTTATGCTCCAAAAAAGGGAAAAGCCTGCAAGTAAAGAGAGAATTGATGCAGCACAGGGGTACTGAATGCAGGAGAAATGAAAATTTGGAGGAAGAGAAGAAGAGAAGGGCAATGAATCTTTTCTATGTAGCCATCAATACCCACATTGCTTTAAGCAAAAAAGAAAACAGTTGCAGAGATAGGAAGCAAGACATCTGCTTTATTGGGGTAATTTGTACTAAAAAGGTGCTGCTAAAAGGGTGCTGTGAGTGTGTGCGTGTGTGCGCACGCATGCGTGTGTGCAATTGTGTGTGTGTCTGTGTGTGTGCAAATTGGAGGAAATATGCAGGAATGAAAGCTCAGCTCAGCTCAGGGGGACAACTTCTAATGAGATATGAGGTGTTACAAGTTAGAGCAACCTAGATAAAGCAAAAGTGCCATAATATACTATAGAACCTGAAGAAGAGGGGAGATTGCGCTGGAATGATATGGCTGCCAAGGTTAATTTACGCATATGTACATATATATATATATATATATATATATATATATATATTACATAAACTATGAGGGCGACAGATGAGGAGAAATCAGCAAAGAAATGCATAAGACTTCCTCTGAACCACAAACTCCTCTGATTTCCCCTGATGGAGCAGGTTACAAGGGGCAAGGTGATGGCTTGTGTGTGTGTGTGTGTGTGTGTGTGTGTGTGTGTGTGTGTGTGTGTGTGTGTGTGTGTGTGTGTGTGTGTGTGTGTGTGTGTGTAGGTGTGTGTGTGTGTGCGTGTGTGTGTGTGTGTGTGTGTTTCTGTGTGCATGTTAGTGGTTTTAGAAATCTACTGGTTTATTGTATTCTTGAAAAGAGAGTCAGTGTGTTGAGAACAATAAATTTGATGTGCCCTCTAACCAACCGTAAAGGACAAAGTACATACTCCTGACTTAAAGAACACTGGGAATGAACTGAGTGAAAGGAGAACATGCACAGAGGGAGAACAGAAAAAAGACAAATGAAATGGGATCTAATGGTCTGTGGAGTATTAACACTATTAATTAAACAAAAAACTTTTTTTATGTTTTGCACAGAACATCTTTGGGTTGTGGAGCTTCTCTGAGCAGTAAGTGTCTTACCTGCAGCAGGTAGAAGTTAGTACTGTATAATCCTGGTTTATAAAATTAGGGCAAACATTCTCATGGCTGAATGAATGAGAACACGACGTGAAGAAAGGCAAATTTTACCTACTTCAGGACTCAAAACCTTTGTAGCTTTACATGAAAACTCTTGATGACACATCTTCACTATTTTCATTAATCTGCAGTAGTTTGTGAGTCGTTCTATGTGGAGAAAAAAGCTCTGGTACTCCTGTTTATGGAAGTCTAGATTTGGAGTCTTACTCATTAATTAATTATTAGCCTAATCTACTTCTCCATCGACCCCGCGAGGGAGAGATGAACACGCATTGACAACGTTTTGCTCTCAGATTTCTCCATCAGCAATTCCCCACCAGGACAACAGTGGGTGTAGCGCTATTCTTCTGGCAAGCCAAATGAGCATTTATTCTGATATCCGGATGTCAGACAGAATTGACATGAACAGGTAAGCCATTTCTGTCCACTAGTTAACTAGTGAGGGTTAAAATGTGCACACTAGTTAACTAGTGAGAGCAGAAATGCACACTAGTTAACTAGTGAACACATTTCGGCTTCACTAGTTAACTAGGTGACACAAAAATGGCTCATTAGTTAACTAGTAAAGGCCAACATGCATCCCAGTCAGCTAGCTGAAGGTATTTGTGTCTCACTAGTTAACTAGTGAGGGTCAAAATGTTCACACTAGTAACTAGTGGGAGACAGAAATGTGCACTAGTTAACTAGCGAACATATTTTGGCTTCACTAGTTAACTAGTACAGGCCAAAATGCATACCAGTCAGCTAGCTGAAGGTATTTGTGTCTCACTAGTTAACTAGTGAGGGTCAAAATGTGCACACTAGTAACTAGTGGGACACAGAAATGTGCACTAGTTAACTAGTGAACATATTTTGGCTTCACTAGTTAACTAGATGACACAAAAGTGGCTTTCTAGTTAACTAGAAAAGGCCAAAATGCATACCGGTCAGCTAGTTGAAGGTTTTTGTGTCTCGTTAGTTAACTAGTGACAGCCAAAAGTGTCCACACGTTCACTTGTGAAGGCATAACTCCTAACTAGTTAACTAGTTGCAGTAGGTCAATAACACTAGTTAACTAGAGAACCCTAAATGGCTCACTAGCTAGCTAGTTGATGGCAGCAGGCTCACTAGTTACCTAGATGACACATCCTTTGTCCAAACTAGTTAACTAGTGAGGACATAAATGTATACTAGTAAACTAGTTCAAGCCTACATTCACACTAGTTAGCTAGTTCCACAGAATTCTAATTAGGAGGCGGAGAATTTCTCAAATTGAGGCTTTCTATTGGCTCCCTATGTCCAAATAAAATATGATAACCAATCACAGCACATAACTTCACAAAATCCCACCCCAAACATTTGCATGTGGCGCACAAGTTAACATGCTGGCCTGAGGAACCTCAGCTAGTGAACTAGTGGCTTCAGTGTGGCACTTACATGTAAACTTGTGAAGGCGGAACTGCTCACTAGTTAACTAGTGAGGTGCAAAATAAGTGTCACTGGCTCACTATTAGCAGCGTCCTGACGAATCACAAGCTTGTGGTCTATGTCACTTTTGATGGATAGCTAAAAATTTGGACATGTCTCCGTCACCCTCTGCAAGCCTGTTGGAGAGCTCTTGCGCTGACGCATAATGGCGTTGCACGTTTCCGTACCTAGAGCATCACAACTCTATAAGTGACTCAGTTTGCTCTGCAATGTTGATGTTTCATCTCCACAACTAAAACCAACAGGGAGGAGTTTTGTTGTGTTGTGGAGTTGATAATGCCAACTGTTGGCTCCTACTAGCCACTCTGCTCTATTCTGGATGCTAAACCAACAACAACATTCCTCGTCACGAGCCAGGATGAGTGAGTTCATGAATGTTAATTCACAGTGTAAGGCTGATCTCTGTGGCTTTTTCTAACTGGAACATTTTCGTGTCTTTTTTCTACCGGCGTCTAATGCAGGAAAAAGGAGTAGAAAACAATTTTCTCGTTAAGCCTGCATGCTAAACTCAGTGACCGATTATACTTCAAAAAGAAAAGGTTTCCCATGTTAAACACTTTCCTGTGATTCTCTAAAAAGCAGTGAGGAGACTGTTGTCAGAATATTGTTTAAAAGATTTCTCCAATTCATCCCGATAGCTGATTGTTAAATAAACTGATTAAAGGGATAACCAGTTTGATATCATCTCCTTTTAGCAATCTCAAAATAATGGATTTATAAAAGCCACGACAGGATTTCTGTTACGTGTTATTTGTAAGTCCTTTGCCATTATTCAGTGAGATGATTGATTCGCGAGGCTTATTCAGTATTCCAGTAAGTGAGCCTTTCCCAGACATCATGACAGCTCCTCGGTGGCTTGGAGGGAGATGGAAATGACTACTAAGATGCATTTCTGTCTGAGAGTAAAAATTTGAAGTGACATCCATGATGTTGTAGCGATAAAGCTGAAAATAAAGAGTGACTCTATGAGTTGCATTTTTGTGTATTAACATGCAAGTCAGCCTGAGAGCTCCCATGTTTAGTACAATGTGGCTTTCCCATTAATGTTTTAAGAGGAAATACGTTCAGAAATGACTTTGTTCTGTGCAGATCTGTAATGAAGCCGACTTACAGGTCAGTGGTGTGTTCAGGGATGTGTGGAGGCAGTCGGGTCAGTTTGAGATTGGAGCAGTCCACCACTGTGCCCTCACAGCGACATTTCTCCGGACACACCAGATCCTGAAAACACTCCCCACTCAGCCGGCTGCGATAGTCCTCCTGACCTAAAAGAGCAAATGGGCAGTGTAAAACAGAAAAAGTCAATCCAGACAGAGAGTGATGGATAAGAAAGGAAGGGATGGAAGTGCAAAGGCTGCGTGAAGCACAAAGAAATAAAATTGTAAAAAAAATTAGTAAAAATAAAAAAGTGTGAACTGAAATACCAAACAGACACTAAATAATGGTGTGTATTTTCCCTGGCAATAGGGGACAGTACATACCTAGATCACTGAAAGAAAGCGGTATTTTTGTGTTCGAGTAAGACCACCAACATGTGGCCACTAGAGTCACATATATGTGAGTGCAACCTTCAGGAAATGACAAGCACATCAGACTCCCTTTCGTCAACGAGTGAAAAGGTAAAACAATGATGTTTATGAATGACAAATGCAATCATTTGTTACAAATCAGTAAATGCATTTTGTTCTCACGGACTCCAGTAGCAGGAAACATGGCATCTAATAGGGCATCACCCAGAGACAAAGGCTCATTCCCAATACTCGCACTGCGGCCTTCAGCAAAGTGCACTTGGAGAAAGTGTGCAGTGAGGCTTCAAGTGCGTAGTACACAAGTGTGCAAATAATAGAATTGAGACAGGGAGCATTGCGTTATCGACCACAACGCATGCCGTGTTGCTGGTCGCTGTGATACTTTTTAACAAAAACTTTATTAACAACATTCAAACAAACAAACAAACAATTATTTCAAATAATTTTACATTCATTGCTGCTTTGTCTAAAAATTTTAGAACATCAACTAATCATCCTAAAATTAACAACTTTCATTAGAAAATACATCTGTTCAGAAAAGGGACTTAAGCCTGTTCTCCTGCAGCAATGGATTGTGGGTAATACACTTAAGTATAAGTTAAGTGCAGATCAAGGGTGCAAAATGGGCGTGATCAACTTACGCACTTGAGAATCAGGACACCCTACGCACTTCCACCCCTGGTCGGGAAGTGTGAGTATTGGGATTGGCCCTTAGAGCCACTTATTTTAGAACTGATTTTTATGGTTATATGTTACAAAGCCGCCTATATTTTTCAACAATTTGGCATCATTTAATTCATTTTCAACAACATTTCGATGGGTATTTCCAGAGATTAATGGTTAAAACTACACATTGTCAATAAAACACATGAGTACTGTTCAGTTTGAAGATGGCAGTAAAATAAATAGAGGAATAAACAACATGAATGACAAAAGGGTGGAACTCATCAGATGCTTACACAGATATTTGTCCTTCCTAAATGTTTCTAGCTAGAGTTAGCTTCTGTAAAATCGGACAAAAACAACCATCTCAGCATGAAGGAGCTACATCTAGATGCCCTCCTCCTTTGTATGGAGGAACATGTTGAACTTGTCCCTGCAGGATCCTGCTGGACACACATTTACTGTGTGAGTGAGTGTGTGAGTGTGTGGTGTGTGTGTGTGTGTGTGTGTGTGGGGTGGGGGGGGGGGGGGGGGGGGGCATTTTACGTTTGAAAACTGAATTAACACACAGACATCCAGGTGCATCTTGCAGATAAATGAGGTTTAACCCCGGATGTTTTCATTTAAATGGCGAGCCAGAGACCACTCCTGTTATTTAGATGTAATGCGAGCAGATATCATTTATGATTGCTTGTGACTGTAATACAGACCTGGTTCACATCATGCAGCACTTGTGTTTGAGCATTACAACATTCACCCTCTTTATAGTTCTGATGGCTATCATTACTTCCATTTCCTAGCCTTAATTTGTATTTTTTTGCCAATCTGTTTTCCGTTACATCAGCGTTTTATTCTTTCAACCATTCTCCTGTCAGACTGTTTATACTCTGGCAGACTTGTTTGTTCCTTTTTTCTCTATCTTGACTTTTCTTTGGCACAGCCAATTTCTCTTTTTGTTATTTTTCAACAGCTAAAACCACTAATTTAAGAGTTGGTTGAAATGAAAAATCTTGATTTGAGCTTCATGTGTGATCACTTTAAGTTATATTTATCTTCTGAGATACAGCCAGAGAAAAAGAGAAACTGTTATAGGAAATAAACTAAAATGTGATCTTTCTTCATTTGTATATTTTTAAATTAGATTTTATAATCTGTTGTTTTGTGTTTTCACGTTGATTGTAATATTTTATGTTCTTGCAGATCTTGCACATTGAATTGCTTCTGTGTATGAAATGTGCTATACAAAGAAAGCTGCCTTGCCTTTTGAAACCATAATATATTGGCTTTAGATCTAGTTTCTTGTTTCAAACAAGCCCCCACAATGTGGGTGAAAAATTGAGTCCAACGCGGAAGTGACAAAAATTGCAGTTCCACCCTCATCCGCTGGGGGCTGGTGTCAGAAGCGAGCAAATCCTCATTGACTCCCATGTTAAAAATACCAGTTTTACAGCAGAAATAAACATGTTTACAGCCTGGTACCAAAACATGTTTTTGGTTTAAATGATCTAGTTTACACTCATGACAACTCTGAGGGGGGTGAATTGTTTCTCACTCTTCAGTTTAAGTGTATTAAAATCCTAAAATTCTGTATAATTAATGAGCATCAGACTCACGTGACCGCAGAGCTAGCTCCGTGGAAAGGCCTCAGTAGAGCCTCGGTCTGGCTTGGAAACTGCTCCGGGATTTTGAGTCTCTGTGTTTGTGTGTTCTTTTTTGGATATTTTTTGTGCAATTGTTGGACAAAATGACTTGCTGTGACATTAATTGCACTAATAGAGCATCCAAGGAGTCTCCACTTCATTTTTTTTCGGTAAGTAAAATTATATTTATGTGTTTTAGGTCACTGCCGAGCTGAGCTTAGATTTTAACATGTACTGTTTAACCATAAAATTTAAATGTAATAGGGTAAAACCCAGTGCATTTAACATAATGCTGCACTTTAGAAAATGGGTTGAAACATAACATGTTGGTGGAGCTGGGTTCCCACTATCGGCTTGTGGAGCTCTCGGGAGACCGATGTTTTCCACCTGGTTTTACCCAGCGGTCAGCCCGGCGTATCTCTGACTCAGAAGCTCTGGTGTTGTGCACAGTTAACTCTGGTTAGCTAGGTTGCTACCTCCGTTAGCTTAGCTCCCACCTCCGCGTTAGCTTTGGGCTAGCTTCAGGTTAGCTTGTAGCTAGTTTGACCGGGTGTCGTCAGTTGATCCCAGCCTTACAGCCCCACCCTCAGCTCCACCTCTCTTCCCTTTTATAGAATTGTCTGGGCTTGACGGAACCTGTGACACAGTCAAAATGGCGGTGGCGGCCACCTCCCATTTATCTTCAAAAATGAGTTATTGGAGTCTATGGAAACCCATTGTCCAATATATATATATATGTCGATGGTTTCAACTGAGGTGCATAGCTAAACATTGAAATGTGCACTTGGAGTGTAATACATAAAAAATCTGAATGTATGGTCAACATCAATGCAATCGTTTACATCGGTATTGATACAGAATGCTAAAATAAATAACCATTATCAAATGAACATCTATTTTTGAAATTGCTTCATTTTGAAGTTCCACTGACAAACATTTCCACCTGTTCCTGCACTAAATGTGAAATGAATGACTCATAGTCTTAGTGAGCAGTGAAAAAACATTAAATGAGGAGATTGTCTCTCTCCTGGAAAATGATTGTGTTCAATCACTTGCAATATTGTTTCATATTGAGTCAAATGGAAAAGGCATTGTAGCTGGATTTAAGATATGAGCAAACATCGACTTGCAATCCACTGTTTAGATATATTGTACTGTGATCTAGTGATTTACACCCATGATCTGCACCTACTGTGCATATTCAGTAGAAACAAATCTGAAAGCAATTACACATCATCCTCAACAATAAGTGATTAGGATACATGAAAAGGTAGGCAGAGACAGAAATAGTGAGTAAAGCAGCAAAAGCAGCAACATGAAAACGACTGTAAGCTGGCAGAACACTATGCAAATGAATGTGTATCAACTTAAAATGTCAAAACAATGGATTTTGAAAGTGTTTTCTGGAAAATGAAAAGAAATGTACACATCTAAGAACTTAACACCTGCATTTAGGAGAAAACTCAACTTATTTTAAAAGACATTGTAAATTTGCAGGAACCATCATTAGTTACCGGGCCTTTCCACCCGAGCATCGCAATGTCAGCAAGACCTACAAGGCAGCAGTTAGCTACCGCTATCATGGATGGGTGCATTTCCATCAGCCGCAAAGCGTTAAGTTTTGGAAGTGTCCCAGAAGCATTGGGATGCATAGGGGCAGCAGTAGCTCAGGAGGTAGAGCGAACTGTCCAATAATCAGAGGGTTGCTAGATTGATTCCGGCTCCCAGCAGAGAACTCGGGGATGACACTTAACCCGCTTTCCCTGCTGCTGGTGGTTGGAGGGACCAGTCGGGTCTGTGTTCAGAAGCCTTGCCTCTGTCAGTGCACCCCAGGACAGCTGCGGTTACATTGTAGCTCATCACCATCGGTGTGTGAATGGATGAATGATACACTAAGTGAAGAGCTTTAGAGTCCTCTGACTCTGAAAGGCACTATACAAGTGCAGGTCGTTTATCACTTTTGTTTCAAGTACGTATATTCATTACGCACCACGCTTCCAGAGCATCCATCAAGCTCATCAGTTCAGATCAGGCCTGACAGGAAGTCAGGCACAGGAGCAATGTAAAGCATCTGGAAATTTTCAAAATAAAAGTCATGATCAGTTTTCCAATTGCTTAACTACTGATAAAAGAATGTCATCACCTCCATAGCCGAGGTGAACACCACAGAAAATAAACCACAGACTGCTCTGGTTACATACTGCTGTCTTTCTCCTTGCTTATTATCATGTGACCTGCCGAAATCATGTGTGGTCTTGCAATTCTCCAGTGATTTCACATTGTCACGGAATCATGCGTGGAACACTTTTGCTGCCTTTTTGTGTCTGAAACGCTTCCTGTGGGAAGGGAGCTCGCAAGTAAAAAGCATCATTTACGTTTTGCATCCAGTGGAAAGGCTGGGTAAGGCTGTGGAAGGCAAGTCTGGTAATAAACCTTTATTGTTTGTGACAAATCATTAGTATATGTGGCACTTGATTCAAGGTATAGCGGAGGATCTTTTTCTTCCAAGTGGATCATCTGAACCATTGGTCCGCATAACTACGTCAATCATTCTGGTGAAACTTTCACGCAAGACCGTCATAGTAAATGCTCGTTCCTGGGTTAGTTGTCACTTCCTGCGCATGCTCATTCGGTTTATGTGTAGAGCAATACGCTTTCATTCTTCGCTGTTCTCCTTGGGTTCTTTTGAAAATGGGTGAGAGTTGCAAGAGAAGAAGTGTCTTTGAAGACTATGATAAGGAGAGAAAGGCCTCTGAAGTGAGAAATAAGACCAGAGTTTTTTTCGGAGACTCTTTTCAACGATGGTGCTGAAAGTGAAGCCTGGGCTGCCCACAGACGCCTCTGTTGCCGGTTTCCTGCTTGACAGGTAAGCTAAAGTTCAGCATGCTATTTGGAGGAATTCATTTCAGGCTACTGCTGGAAGAAGATATTTACGACTATATTTTTATTTTCCAGGGAAGAATGGTTTGATTCTGATCAGAGAATACATCTAGTGGTTATTAGCAGAGAAGTTTTTCCCAATAGAAATACTTTATTGATCCCATGTGGGGGGGGGGGGATCATATGCAACAGAATCAGAAAATGAATAAGGTGCAGAGGTAGACAGACAGCAGTAGTACAATATATGTGGGAGAAGAAATAAGTACATAAAATGTGAAAAAAAAATTGAATTAAAAAAAGAACTGCACATAAACAAATATAAACCTGACATTGTTGAAAAAATAAATCTTCTTTTCTTGAGCGAGCCTGTGCTGAAAGGCTAGCAGCTACTTAGATAACTGGGCATTCTCTCTCATGTGCATTTTTTCTAAACGGGCGGTTCTTTCCTGAAATTCAGAAACATCCTCCGACATACCTTTCATAAAAGTCCCCAAAAATAAGTGTGTGACCACTAGTTAATGCTCCAAGGTGAGTGATTGGCTGGGAGTGGCATGAAGGTGTGTGCTGGGCGGTCCCTGGCGCTTGACGGAACCATGTGATGTGACAATATGCGGGGCCACATGGTTAGATCAAGCACAAGAAACAGCTGCACGAACCAATCAGAATAAAGGTCCACACAGGAGGAAGGTGGGGCAACAGAGAGATGTACCAGTCAGTCAGGGGGGTAGAAGCAACAAGAAGCTGCTGGTCCACACAGGAAGGAGGCAGGAACAGAGAACTGCCCACAGATAGCAAAAAATGTCCACACAGGTCCAAAGAAGAACAAAGATGCAGGGAGAGGTTTGGGGCTGCAGACAGGAAGGGCTGAAGCAAAGAAATCAGCACAACCAGCTTCAGAAATCTGGTTGTGCTGATTATCTCCAGGGGAAAAGTACAGTTAAATGTAGCTATTCAAAATTCTTATAGCAGTAAACTTTCATTTTGTAACACACACACACACACACACACACACACACACACACACACACACACACACACACACACACACACACACACACACACACACACACACACACACACACACACACACACACACAATGGGAATATCGTACCACAAAACACATTTTCTTTTATATTGACCTGAATAAAGAAATTGTTAATGAAACTATTACATCTGGTGTCATGATCACTGTTAAATTCAGCCTCTTAACTCAGAACAATTGTACAGAGGAACCCTGAACAACAGAAGTAAAGTACACATTTATTCACTTGATCATAGCAGAAACACTAAATACCTTTTCATCACGTCACCACAGCGACACACAGTATGAAGTAACTCAGTTTCACACGCTCATAAAAGTAGGAGACCCCAGTCTTCAGCCTCCCTGCTGAGTTGGTGATTGTGCTTTTTCAGAATACTAAAGAGGCCTGGGCTGTAATAAGTGACACCCATGGCTCCTATGTAAGAAAATGACCATAATAACGTGCAACCACACAGGGAGAGGCAGGAAGTGGAGCAAAATCTGTATTTGTTTAGTAAACAAATTCAGTGACAAACAAAAGTGCATTTAATATTTAATGTCTCCCATGCTGGCATCTTACATGGGATCTAATCAAGGAGATAGATGTTTGATTTGCTAGTGGTTGCTAATGAGGCTCTAGTGGAATTATTTGCTTTGATACAAACAATTAATTGAAAACAGCATCCATGATTGTTGAGAAACGATGATTAACAGGCACAAATACTTTTTATTGAACGTATGAAAACGTTCAGCTCTATTTCAGCTGTAATGTCTGTTCTAATCAATGTAAAATCAACATGTTGTAACAACTCTATAGTTAGGGAGATGTGGTGTTCTTGCTGAAGAGTTTTCACGAACACTTGTGATGCAGCTGTTTTCATCAGAAGTTATTAAAACTACATTTGTTTCTCAACCTTAAATAAGAGGTGGGAACTGTGATGCACTGGGTGCATTTTTTGTGATTCAAATGTGCGAATTTCATTTAACAAATGTGTTTATTTTATGCAGATGATTCCTTCAGCCAGTATCTCACTGGACTGTGGTTGGTAGCAACAAGCTGAGTTTCGGAAATGTCTTAAAACTCTCAGAAATTCTCTAGATTTCAGGTCACAGGTCACAAAACCCATTTACAGCGAGGCACGAGCTGAAGATCAACTGTCACAATTTTACCTGTGTGAGGTAATTGCTCACCTGTGCACCTGAACTTCTTGCCTTTGACCTGGCTGATTCGTTTGTTGGCCAGCCTTCTGGGGTGGCTGCAGCGGGCCCCGCTGGTCTCGATCGGGTTGTCAAACAGGTAATCGGCCAGCCACTTGAGGTGACAGTCACACATAAAGGGATTCTGGGCCAGGTGGCTGTTAGAAAGGAAGAAACGGAGAGAACAGGGAAGATTGTGTCATTTAAAAAGCTACGCAGTCGTGTTGTTTTTCTGTAACAGACATCTTCCTTATTTCATTCATTTTTCTTTGTTCTGCTGGTGTGTTGTTTGTCTCTCTAAATAAATAAAAATCCTTTATAAAACAGATACTTAACTTCCATTCTGATCAGTAGAAATTATTATTAAAACAAATGATGTTTGTAATTGTTGACACTGATAAGTTTTATTGATTAATTAGAGAAAAGACAATCAAAGAGTGAGGAAAAGCTCTGAGTCATTTTAATTTTCTGACTGAATTATAATGTTTATCCTACAATTCATTAGAGGCTACCGCTGGTACTAATAACTATTTTCATTATATATTACCACCATGAATAATTTTCATTTTAAGACCTAGAAATAAAAAAGGTTGCATTTTAAATTTCCCTGAGGACCTAAAGAAAACCGGAATTGTCTTCTTTTCCCGACTAACAGCTCTGACCAAACATAATGACGTTGCTGCTGGACTGCGAGATCAGGCTATATTTGATATTTTAAACAAGATCAGAAACAATTCACAGGCAATTTAAATTTATTCCAGTTTCTTTATATCTGCAACTTTAATTCAATTCAATTTGTCGATAAAGGGCCAGTTCATTAAAATCCCAATCCATGCCCCTTTTTCTTTGTTGGTTTTCTAAGATCAGGCCTGATCCTGGACAACGTAATCCCACCAGATTTATCTGGCTCTGCCTCAGCAGCTCCGTTCAAACGTGCCGTGAATGTGTAAGAAGGCATCCAGGTGGTCAACAGTGAATTGTTCTGTGTTTATGACACGATCCTCTAAAATCTGGAAAACTTACAGGGTCTTGATGGAGCGCAGAGGCGTGAAGAGTCCTTTACTGATGGTCTGCATCTTGTTGTCGTATAAAGACAGCAGGTTCAGGTTCTGTAGGTCTTGGAACGCGTTGACTCTCAAACAGTTAATCTTGTTGGCGTTCAGCAACCTAAAACACAAAGATTCATTTGTTATTCATATTTAACCTTGTTCTTGTGTGAGATGAGGAGAAAAAAAGCAACCTATGTAGATTTTTCCCCTCTCATACGGTTTCCAAGTGCAAAACCACAACTTTTCTGATCTATCTTAAATTTTATTTCATTTATTTTTCCCGGCCTTGGCAGGTAAATCTGAAAATTGCCTTTTTTTTCACGTCCCTTACTCAAGGCAGGAGGGGAACGTCTGCAGATATATGTGTGATAGCTTGTTTTGATGGGGGAGACAGAAAGGAGGACGAGACGAGATGGAAGAATGACTAAGGGAAAGAGAGAGATAATGAAGTGAGACACTGAAGGGACAGGTGAAAAATTAATTTGGAGTGACACAGATGAACATTTAAGTGAAGAAGCCTGACAGGTAAAATGGAGGAATATGGCATGGGGAAATAAGAAATGTGATTGAGGGATTAAGTAAACGACAGGAGAAATTTTCACCTCTACCCGTCGATGCTGTCTCTCTGTTCTTTCATACCTGCTCCTTGTCAGCCATTATTTCTGACTGGTCCCTAACCCTCTACTGCTACCATTACTCTTTTCCGGCTCCTTGTCTGTGACGTTTTTCACCTTTTCTTCTCCCCTCTTACTCAACATTCACTCGACTTCAGCCGAATTCTCCGTTTTGATCCCTTTCACACACACTTAACTGAATTCCTCTTCCCCATGTGTGACAAAGTGAGTAACTTGATGCTGGGTACAGCGGCTCAGCTTAATTATCTGGAGTCGTCCTAACGAGCACACCCTGTTTATATGTCCACACACACACACACACACACACACACACACACACACACACACACACACACACACACATACACACACACACACACACACACGCACACGCACACGCACACACACACACACAAGCACACACGCACACACACACACACACACACACACACACACACACACACACACACACACACACACACACACACACACACACACACACACACACACACACACACACACAGGTGATGCACACGTGCTGCTCTGCGACATATCTACGCCTCATTAGTCGGCTCGCAGGGGGAGCTAATTACTTGAAACTGCACCAGAAACACAGAGCAGCACAGAAAACATAAACAGCAGACCAGTAGCAGCACTGAGCTGTAAACACATCTATGCTTGGCGAAGTTTAATTTCTAGCCACAGCGTAATGTCGGAAAATACTGACATTTTATTTAGGCTGCGGACTTTCTGGGTGTGGGAGGTTTTCTCTTGTTGGTTGTAAAATATTAAAAAGCACCTTCCTGTACTGCGCCTGCTTCATTCGTGCCAGCACCGCCCTGTCAGTGTCCTTCCACAAAGAGCCAATGATGTAGCAATGCATGAGTAATAACTAGACACTCAGAACTTTATTTATTCATTGAAGGATCCAGTCACAAATGCACAACAGCAATCTTAATTTATCCTATTATGTGACCATGCATGCATGTGCTAACAAATACAAACTCCTGCGGCACCATTAGATCCAAGGGAAATGCTTTTCCAGCCAGATGCTAGATGTTAATGATGCTTCAGCGAACGTATTGTGACATAAGCACTAAGTTTATTCTTTTCTGCTTCCTAGTTGACTTTGTTTTTGTGCGTGTCTTGATCTTTGCTCTGCTTCTTTACCACTGGCTTGCTTTTCATCTCACAAAATCCACTCATCTATCCATTAAATCATCTGCTCCTTCCCCCTTCACGGTTTCTGTATTTGACCATGCACCGTGGTCCCAAATGATCCCGTAAGCCTGTAAAAGGTGTTTGTGGGTTAAATTCACTCATCCTCATTCTCTTTGCTTGGCTTCACTTAACGACGGAAAAGCCCAGAACATTAGCTGCTTCTGCAGTGGACTGCGGCATTTGCAAGGACCATATGCCACATCCAGTACTTATGTAGCAGTTATAGAATTTTTTACTAGGTGCTGAACCAGCGCTGCAGTTCCAAGTCTGCACCCATGAGGAATTATTTTGAATTAATAGATTTCCTCCTAGAAAACACCATGGAGTTAAAGAACAAAGAGAGATTATGGTTTCGATTACCGAGCAGCAATTTGTCACACGTTGAGCACTTAAGAAAAGATCTCTCTATAGACATGCGACGGAGAACAGATGGAGGGTTAAAAGCACCAAGAAGGGATTATTCAGCAGGGCTTGTATTGCACACGTGTGCAACAGAGGTTATCACTAAGACTTTAGTCTCACACACCTATCTTAACAGTGGAGAACGGGCTCATCAGACCAAATTAACAGTCTGGTAGGGACGAAAAACACTTGAGATGCAATAAGCCTATAGGATGCTGCTCACTGTATCGGTGCACAATGGGACTGCAGTTTAATAGAACAGGATGTCAAACATATGAGAACATTCCTGCCAACAAAGACCTCAGCTGCTAATGCTGCCGGATCAAACCATAATACATGCTGGTCTATTCTAGAAGGGCTCTGAATCAGTTGCAAAATTGTTCCATGCAGATGAAAAACAGCCTCTCATCCGACCCACCCTCTAAAGCAGCTCCAAACACCACACAGGTGTTTATCGGTGACTATTTATTTATTTAGGCTGGTTTGAGGGACATTGCATTCTGTCTAAAACCTGCTGTCCAATAAAAATGATGAATGACACTAAACCACACAGGTTTAGACGTGAATAAAATGTTACGACAGTTTCCCGTTTTGTAAAACAATTAGCAGCTACATGTGTACTCATGGTTGTAAAAGCAGGTATTAGGATGTAGCTGTGATTGCTAATGACACTAAACATCTGTCAGAAACCCTTTTAAATATCCCTAACCTGCTATTTTACCTTTAAACACCGCTGTTTCTTTTTCCAGTAGGTTCTGCCACTGGCATTTCCCCCTTCTTCCAATTTTGTGACATTTCTTTTATCAATATCGATCATAAAATTGTTCCACAAAACAAACATAATCTACTCCTTCTAAATGATACTTTTATCGGCTGCTACTTTCTAAGGATGAAAGAGGCTATGCACACTTGTGACACATCGTTGCTAAGTTAGGTTTTTCATGGTTAGCTGAGAGGACCACACACAGATACACATGGGTGCAGACAGACATACTCACAGAAGCTGCAGGGAAACCAGTCCATCAAATATGCCTTTAGGCAGCTCGGTGATCTTATTGCCATACAGGACCCTGCAATGAACAATAACAATTAATAGCATTGGTTTGGTTACAAACATTAAAGGCCGACATGGTGAAACGCGTATGTTTTTGCATGCTTAGATGTTCTTGTGTTATCTCTTCATGAAATGAAAACTTCCAATAAGAATAATACTGTCTACTTTTAAATTTAGATGTGATATTTTAGCTGATAATTAATAGTTAGTTAATAATGCTATTTCTTATTAAACTTCAGGTTTATGGATGATCCTAGTTTTCCTCCATTATATTTATCCCAATAATCACTTTTTTGTTAAGAAAGCAGGGCACTAAATACATCTGTACAACATAAAATAAAATAAAAACACAATAAACAAGCAAAATGCATGTTTTAACCAGTTTAGGGTTCAAAGATCATAAAGTTATTTCCCTCTGAGATTGTTCCTCAGTGATGACACTGTTTTGGACCATTTCTATTTGTCCTACAGCAGCTGCTTCATGCTGCTGCAAGCCAAAGATTTGCTCTCATTGTGCACAGCTGACTTGATTTAGTGCATGTGTTTGTACATTTGTGTGTTTGTCAGAGTTCCCCTTGTCTGTGTCTTCTTGTACGTCTGTTTCTGTCATTTTCATGACTGAATCAAATTAAACTGCCTGTCATGTTCATGCATGCGTACACATTCACACACAGTGCATAAACACTGCCGTGTTGTGTTCCACTTGTCAGCATAAACTGGAAAAGTATTTTATTTTCTAAATGTCTGAAGACACAACCCCTTTCTTGTTTGTTTACCAGTGAGTATTTTGCATATATGTATTCCATACTTACAGAGAGGTGAGTGAGCGAAGACCACTGAAAGCGTCTGCCGCGATGTCAGAAATCTGGTTCTTACTCAAGTCACTGGGGAGAGAATAAGACTACTGTAATGCACAGTAATGGGTTCATTCTGCATGGACGTCCTCAAACTGTCTGACAAAGGATCACGCCCGAATACATCAGCTGAGGTCAAGGCAAGAAGACACGAATAAGGAAAAAAAAAATGCACAAGAGGGACAGTGAGAGGGAGTAAATGGGGTAGTGAGAGAGAGAGAAAGATAAGCGAAGAGGATGAAAAGAAAACTGAAGTGACAGGACACAGAAAAGCAGAGAGGAGGAGAGCAGCTGGTAGCAGTGGCATGTTAAGTGCAGTTTGTGTCATTTACTTTGGCTGCTGTAGGATGTATTATTAAACCCTGTTGCTGAGGTGAGGTTAAATCTTTATATGTGGGTGCACATGGGTAACTTACAGCCACACACAACTGCACGCTAAGAGTTCTCATGCAATCTCAAGAAAATTATTTTCCCGTCTCACCAGTTTTTGTTTAAAGGGGTGGATTATTTATTTTACACAACAAGAAAATAATGTGTTTCATCCCATTTGTTTCATAAAAGTTCAGTTTAATGCTCTGATTAAATGTTTTCTATGCTGTGAGTGTATTTGTGGATTTAACAGCCACTTGGACAATAATTTGTCCCATTAAAATTAGAAAAGCATAAACACAATTAGCAGAGGTGAGACCAACTCACTGTGTTGCAAGTCTCAAGTCATTCTACTCAAGTCTGGATTGAAGTCAAGTCTCGTGAAAGGCTAGTCCTGAGTCAGGTCTTAATCGTAATTTTGAAATTAAACAAATAAAACAAAACGAATGATCAATGGTGTTGTCCAGTCACAAATAGTTTCATGTTAGCGAGGTCAGGCCCAAGTGAAGTCACAAGTGATTAGTGTTAGAGTCTAAGTCAAGTTCAAAGTCAATTTCAGACTAAATGCATTTAGATTTTGACTCGATTCCACACATCTAGCAAACCACTATGTACATTGTTTGTTTGTGTGAGTGTGTTTGAGTTTGCATGTGTGTGTGCAGTGCACTTACATTCTCTTGAGCTTCTTGTAGGCTGTGAAGGCTCCTGCTGGGACACTTTTTATCTGGTTCTGCTCCAGACGACTGCAGAAAAATAAGAACACATCCTCAGAGAAATCCAAAAGGGAATTAGTTAATTGCTGAACACGAATTTAAGTGTTTAAAGGCTAAATAACAATTAATCTAAAAAAAAAAGAAAAACAATAGGTCATAGTTTGTAGTTGATATGAAACCTAAACTATACTCTTTCTTCAGTCTTGCTCATCAGAAAACATTTTTCTCTACAAAACGATAAAAAAAGGTGTTGCTCTACATAATTTTCCCAAGGTTGGTCAGTGCTCTGTACTAAACAAATTGTAAATCTGAATCAAGATTAAAAATAATAATAATAACAAGTATGATGTTACATCAGTGTGACTGGTTATCAACAATTAAATAAAAGTCTGTTCTGGCAGGCCAGGCTAAGCCAGCGGTAGGTCTGACCAAAAATGTTAGACATTTTATTGGACATTATCGGATTACTTGAATATGATGCTGCAACAAAGCCTTTTGCACATCATTGCATCCATTAAATATTTATTTGTACATTTTTAATCTACCTTTTCTTTTTCTGACATTTGTGTTTATTAGGCCCGAGCAGCGAAAGCGCTGCGAAGGCCTCTTGTTTTTGCTCTGTTTATTAGGCCCGAGCAGTGAAGCTGCGAAGGCCTATTGTATCTGCTCCGTTTATTATTTTTTTTCTTTTTTTTTTTCTTTCTTTTTTTTTCTTCCGCGTCATTGGATGGCCTTTAGGGGGTCTAAGCATATCCAAAAACTCACCAAATTCTGGCCCAATATAGAAAGTGCGTGAAATTTACGTATTTCACTGGCAACGTGAAAGTTGGTAAAAAATTGTTTCAACAGCACCCCCTGGAAAATTAAAAATACCCCTCCGCTTTGACCTTTTTTCATAGTAGAGTGATGAAATTTGGTACACTTGTAGAACTCAACAATACGCACAGAAAAGCCTCTTGCACCCATGGTCAATATCAAACAGGAAGTCGGCCATTTTGGACTAAAGTGGCCATTTTGACCCCATTTTGGCCATTTCTAGGGTCTATATTTGGTTGAACAGTTTGGTCAATTTTCGCACGATCGTCTCAAAAATAGTGTGCGATCGAACAGAAGCGATGGACGATTAAAATGAGACAATAAAATTGACTTTTCGTAAATACTGAAGGGGCGGGACCAGGCCTCAAAGTTCGAGCACTCGCCAAAAAAATTCAAATTGCTATAGATTCATAAATGAAAGAATTACAGTTAAAGAAATGTTCTATGGACAATTGTCGTCGCCCTCCGAAGACAAATGAATGGTCGATTGATGATGTCACATAAGCCCCGCCCCCTCAGGACTTAAAAGGTCAAGTTTTACTAGGAAATTTCCCAAAATTCGCCCTTTCAAATAATCACCCCAAATTTGTAGCAGGTAACTGAAGACAAGTTGGGGTTGCTTGGCGTCACTTTATGGGAGTTTTCTGAAGAAGGCGGGGCTGTGGCGGCGCGGCGAAGTCAGGCGTACCGACGTGGCCTTACGTTTGCCTCCCATTTCGTCATTTCTAGAGATATCGCCACGAAACGTCTTGGGAGTGATCCTAGTCCGGCCCCCCCAAAAATGTGATGTGAACATCCGGTGGGCGTGGCCTATTTTCTGAAATAGCGCCCTCTAGGACCATTAAAACTGCCAGCCCCATGCCATGCTTTGACTGACGAGTACAAAATTTGGTACACTAATGTGGTGTCTCAGGACCTACAAAAAAGTCTCTTGGAGCCAAGTGCAATGTCGCACAGGAAGTCGGCCATTTTGGTCCAAGTGCGCGATTTAGTGGTTTTCGCACACGTTGTTTGGAGAGTGATGCTCCGTCGCCCTTTTCACCAATTGCCTTCACACTTCTGCTATATACTGTTAAGACATAGATGAAAAAATTCAGCCGTCGGATTTTAAATAAGTATAAAGGTGTGGGCGTGGCTAAGCCTCAAACTTTGACCTGTCGCCACGCCACTCTTTTTTTCACAGCTCCCTATTGGACTCCTTTTAACCAATCACCACCAAACAGTTGCAAATAGCAGCAGACAAGTTGAGGTCACTTAGTCTATAGTACTGGCAGGTTTCGAATAAAGGCGGGGCTTTGGGAGCATGGCAAAATTCGCCATCACGACATGGAAATACGTTTGTCTCTCATTTCTTCAATCATTGTGACATCGCCACACAAGTTCTGATGAGTGATCCTACTCTGACCCCTAATAGAATTGGACAGCTGAAGTTTGTGGGCGTGGCCTATTTTCTGAAACAGCGCCCCCTAGGACCATTAAAACAGTCAGCCCCAAGCCATGCTTTGACTGAGGTTCACAAAATTTGGCACACTAATGTAGTGTATCAGGACCTACAAAAAAGTCTCTTGGAGCCAAGCGCAATGTCGCACAGGAGGTCGGACATTTTGGTCCAAGTACTCAATTTAGTGGTTTTCGCACACGTTATTAGGAGAATGATATCTCCTCGCCCTTTCCACCGATCACCTTCAAACTTCTGCTATATACTCTTAAGACATAGAGGAAAAAATTCAACCGTCGGATTTTAAATAAGTATAAAGGTGTGGGCGTGGCTAAGCCTCAAACTTTGACCAGTCGCCATTACCTTATTTGACTTAACAACTCCCATGTGCATGATCAGATCAATTTCATACTTTGACTGTGTGATCACTGACCACATCTGAAGACAGTGACAATGTGGACAGCTGACATCACCTAAGCCCCGCCCCCTGACTACAGGAAGTCTATTGTTTTATGGTGAACTGCCCATATTTGTCCCCTCTAATTTAGTCAAGATGACACTAAGGTCATGCACTGTCTTCATGATGCTGTAATGACCATTCAGATCTGATAGCTTTTCAGAAAGGGAGGGGCTTTGATGCCACAACGAATTCTGTTCTGGTGGACGTTTCTGCTCCGCGCACGTGCCCTGGTGTCCCGGGCTGCCGGCCAGGAAGGGGCGCGGAGCTGGGTTTGGAGAGCGTCGGGGATGGAGCAAAGGGGGTACAGACGGAGGACGAGCAGCTTCACTGCGAGGGCCGAACGACGCTGCTTGCAGCTTTAATTAGGCCCGAGCAGCGAAGCGCTGCGAAGGCCTATTGTATCTGCTCCGTTTATTAGGCCCGAGCAGCGAAGCGCTGCGAAGGCCTATTGTATCTGCTCCGTTTATTATTATTACGCTTTCTTTTTTCTTCCGCGTCTTTGGGTGGCCTTTAGGGGGTCTTAGCATATCCAAAAAGTCACCAAATTCTGGCCCAATATAGAAAGTGCGTGAAATTTACGTATTTCACTGGCGATGTGAAAGTTGATAAAAAAGTGGCTCGACAGCGCCCCCTAAAGAGTGAAAAATACCCCTCTCCATAAAGCTTAGTTTATCGTACAGTTATGAAATTTGGTATACTGGTACTACTCAACAGTCCGCACAAAAAAGCCTCTTGCAACCATGGTCAATATAAAACAGGAAGTCGGCCATTTTGGGTTGAAATGGCGATTTTTAGCCGTTTTGGCCATTTCTAGGGTCTATATTTGGTTGAACAGTTTCGTCATTTTTCGTACCATAGTCTCAAAAATAGTGTGCCATCGAACAGAAGCGATGGACGCTTCAAATGAGAAAATAAAATTGACTTTTCGTAAATACTGAAGGGGCGGGGCCAGGCCTCAAAGTTCGAGCACTCGCCAAAAAAATTCAAATTGCTATAATTTCACAAATGAAAGAATTACAGTTAAAGTAACTTTCTATGGATAATCGTCATCGCCCCCCGAAGACAAATGAATGGTCGCTGGATGATGTCACACAAGCCCCGCCCCCTCAGGACTTAAAACGTCAAGTTTTACTGGGAAATTTTCCAAAATTCGCCCTGTCGAATAATCAGCCCGAATTTGTAGCAGGTAACTGAAGAGAAGTTGGCGTTGCTTGACGTCACTTTATGGGTGTTTTCTGCAGAAGGCGGGGCTGTGGCGACGCGGCGAAGTCAGGCGTACCGCCGTGACCATACATGTGCCTCCCATGTCGTCATTTCTATAGATACAGTCACGAAACGTCTTGTGAGTGATCCTAGTCCGGCCCCCCAAAAGATCTCATGTGAACATCAAATGGGCGTGGCCTATTTTCTGAAATAGCGCCCCCTAGGTCCATTAAAACTGTCAGCCCCAAGCCATGCTTTGACTGAGGAGTACGAAATTTGGTACACTAATGTGGGGTCTCAGGACCTACAAAAAAGTCTCTTTGAGCCAAGTGCAAAGTCGCACAGGAAGTCGGCCATTTTGGTCCAATTACTCGATTTAGTGGTTTTCACACACGTTATTAGGAGAATGATGTCTCGTCGTCCTTTCCACCTATCACCTTCAAACTCCTGCTATATAATCTTAAGACATAGAGGAAAAAATTCAACCGTCGGATTTTATACAAGTATAAAGGTGTGGGCGTGGCTAAGCCTCAAACTTTGACCTTTCGCCATTACATTACTTGACTTAACAACTCCCATGTGCATGATCAGATCTATATCAAACTCCGTCTGTGTGATCATTGACCACATCTCAAGACAATGACAATGTGGACAGCTGACATCACCTATGCCCCGCCCCCTGACTACAGGAAGTCTATTTTTTAATGGTGAAATGCCCATATTTGTCCCCTCTACTTTAGTCAACATGACACTAAGGTCATGCACTGTCTTCATGATGTTGTAATGACCATTCAGATCTGATAGCTTTTCAGAAAGGGAAGGGCTTTGATGCCACGGCGAATTCTGGCGTGACGCCGTGACCTTACGTTTGACTGTAACTTCCACTAACAACCTCCGATCTGCCCGAGACTGAACATGGCAATCAACAATCATGCCCTTTATTCAACGAGGCACACACCGTTGGTGAAAGTTGTGTAATGTCACCACAGCGCCCCCTACACACCATTAAAACTGTAATAACTCCTACAGACGAGGTCGTAACTGCACCAAACTTGCTATGTGTACTCACACAATGGCACCCACCACAGTCCTGTGGTAAGTTGTTGATATTGC